ATTGCACAAATATTCACAATAGGATTGAATGATTAGATTTTATGATATGTGAAGTACATGCTAATAAACTAGTTTGAGTCTCATGTATCCAATGTTCCGTTGCTATGGTAAATGCCAAGATGAAAACTCATTTTTTCTGTTAGGGCTTCTATTATATATACTGAACCAAGCACTGCCTCCAGTTTGATCAGAATCACTATTTGATTGGAAGTTCATGTCATTTATTCCGTCTTCTTCCTGAAAGAGAGATCTCAAATGGGACTGCAGTGCACAAGGTCACAGCAGTTCAAAACCACTCATTGCCCCTCAGCAGAAAGGTGGGGCTTTCCACTCCCCAAACCCTTACAGTCTTGGAAACTCAGAGAAGCTTTCTAGCCTGTCCTGTAGGGTCACTATGAGCCAGTATCAACTTGAAGGGAGTGATTTTGGTTTCTTTTGGTTTTCTTTCTACTGGATTTCTCTTTCCAACTCTGTATCCAATCATACTGGTACCCTGAATTAGTCTATTTATAAGTATTTATACCTTAGAAACTGTTCCATGCCACAAATCTGGACTTAAATTTATTGTTTAATTGATTATTCATGAGAACATCTTCTTAGATGAATGCTTTATGGTGAAAGATCCTACCAATTCCTGTCTAGATGGTAAAAAAAACCCAACACCTATTAACACTACATCTAACTTCTATTCTCTTTCTGATTCATATCAAGTTATGATTTTTTTGTCTTGGGTGTACCCAATGAATAGTGTCCTGAGATTATACTTTTACCTTAATGCCCTACCTGCTTTATTATGACATGTATTCATCTGGAAGGAGAGGTTCTACCATGGTTAATGAATATTATTGAAAGTTTTGCCCCATCACCAATCCCATTGTTTGTGTAAATATGTAGTGTAAAGTCACTTAAGAGTTTAACCTGTATAGTCAACACAACATGCACTGTAGATAGTAGCTGGTCTCTAATTTCATATTCTTAATAGTGTTATAAATTCTACCATTTACTAAACTAATGATACTCTCACTAGAATTACCTTATGCCTCAGGGGGATGATTAATGACATTCTCTAAAATAAAAGGTGAGGGATGTCATGATAGTGAACCAGAAACATACGTAAACCATAAAAAGGAGTGAATTTGGGGTTCCCACTTAATTCTAGCCCCAATCTAGGAACAATCAGTTCTTAGACATGGCTCCTATGAAGAGATAACTGAAGCTATGGGGTCTATAGTCAAGTGTGGAGAAGAAACTAGATGGTGCTTTACTATGAGAAAGGGCCTTAAAGGCTTGTCTTCAAACAAGCAGCCATCCAAAGTGAGACATCAGTTAAGTTTATATGCAAGAGAAGCACAGTAGTCTGTGTGATCCAAGGATTGTAAATAATAAAGGAGAGAATGGTATCAGAGCTTAAATAGTGAACACCTGGTTTACAGAAGGCTGTGCATGACAGTGGAAACCCAAAATCTATTTGCATGGTCCACACATGGATTCAGTTTCCAGGGAATACCCTGTGACCACAGTGAGGGAACATGACGGCCTCATTATCATATAGAAAGGATTGTAAATTGATAATGGCAGATTATGTAGTTATATTAAAAAATATTTTTATTTTCTCTCCCCTTTGACCCATTTTAAAGTGGTTTCAGGTGTTTATGTTTGCTGTTGTTGCTGTTTTTTAAGTAAGTGAAGGGGAATACATGTGGATTAAGCCTCCAGTGAATTTCCTCTGACCAGAGACCAGAGATGTGGGGGGGTGTGCTTATATTCTCCATCTGATATGGTAGGTTCTAGTAAAATGCTTCAAGTGCTTAACCTTTTATTTTTCTTTCTTTTCACAGTAGTCCAGATGCCTTCCAATTGGCTTCCTCTCGCTGACAAATGTTCATGTAAGAATGTATCCTAATGATTTTCTCTCCAAGCAAATATTTTTTAACCACATTTAGAATATTGGTTTATAGACCTGTGTTTCTTTGGGTATGATTCTGCTTTCTTTCTTCTTTGTTTATTCATTTTTGCTTTTCATTTGATGAAATGTATTTGGTTTCTTTCAAGGATTCTGATTTTTGGTCACATTGGCAAGTCTCTTTGCCAGCTGTTACTGTCTGGGCCAATGTTCCTCTAAGCCCTGGCTTATAGACCATGAGCATCAGAGATGCTGCTGCAGGATATCTGGCACTGAGACCAGAAAGCTGTAATTGTAATACGTACCACATATAAGTTTTAGGCATGTTGATGGTCAATAGCCCTACTCTAGGCAAGTTCTTTCCGGTCCTAGATAGAAGCACATTGTCCCTCCTTATAAAGTCCCTTGTTTTATATTTTAAGCCAGGTAGAGAATAGCAACAAAGAAAATCTCTTTTTGGTAATAGCTCCGAAAATAGAATTTGAGAACACTAACTGCTACCACTTATTAAAGTGCCTTTGTTATGGGAGACACCTTATGCTTATCACCTCTAAACTGCAAAACTATTCTGTAGCATTGGTATTAAAATCCCGTGATAAACCTGAAGCACAGAGAAATGAGGTGATCTGTTCAAGGTCACAAAAATCATGGTTGGCATAGAATTGGATGCAAAATTTCCCCAACTCTAGCACTTGAGACAATTTCACTCTACCAAGATTTTACTTTTAACTGTTTGCTCTTGGGCAAATGGGGACCAGAGAGAACCATATCCAAGACTGAAGTTGTTGAGGATATCCACAGTCTGCATCAGTAAGAGAGAAAGAAAACCAAGAGGGAGCGACAGCCTCCCACAAAGGCACTCAAGTTGCAGTGAGGTCTGAGCAGATACTAGGAAGAGAAAGACCATCTAGGAAGAACAAGGCACATTCGGGCACATCCAAGACAAGCAGGGCTACATTGTTGCCAAGCATGGTGAGCTATTTCTAAGATGGCACTCTTCAAATATTTGTCTTCAAATTAACTGCTCAGTAAAAAGATGAAGTCCTTCTTAAGGAATTTGGTTTTATGTGGAATTTACACACTAAAAGGCAGATACCGCATTGCTTAAAATCAGAAAAGATGTGCGCTAGGGTTGTGTCTTCTCACCACACTTATTCAATCGGTATGTTAAGCAAACCATCGGAGAAGCTGGCTTATATGAAGAAGAAGGTGGCATCAAGATTGGAAGAAGGTTTATTAACAACCTGCTGTACTCAAATGACACAACTGTGCTAGGTGAAAGCGAGGAGGACTTGAAGCACTCGCTGGTGAAGACAACAGCATTCAGTAAGGATTACACCTCAGTGTGAAGAACTCAATAGGTAACATCATGATAAGCAGAGAGATGCATAATTGTCAAGGATTTATTCTTGCTTCAGTCCACATCAATGCTCACTGAACCAGTAGTCAAGAGATAAAAGGGCATTTTGCATGGGGTAAACCTCCTGCACAAGATCTCTTTAAAATGTTGAAAACCAAGGATGGCACTATGAGGACTAAGGTGTGACAGACAGAAGCCATGGTATTTTCAATTGCCACGTACGCACGTGGAAGTTGGACACTGAATGAAGAAAACTGAAGAAGAAGTGATGCATTTGAATGACGGTGCTGGTGAAGAATATTGAAAGTACTGTGGCCTGCCAAAAGAACAAGCGACCATATCTCTGAAGAAGGACAGCCAGAATGCTCCTTCAAGGCAAGAATGGTGTGACTTCATCTCACCTACTTTGGACAAGTTGTCTGAAGAGACCAGTCCCTGGAGACGGACATGCTGCTGGTAAAACAGAGGGGAAGTGAAAAATGAGGAAGGCCTTTGGCAAGATGCATCAACACAGTGGCTACCCAAATGGCTCAAACACGGGAACAGCTGTTGGGATGGAGCCATGCCTGGTGCTATTTCGCTCTGAGGTTCTTGCGTCGGCCATCTAACTACATGGCACATGACCACACCAGATAACTAGCAGTGACTCCCCCTTTATTTGCTACATATGGATGGAGTGCATACTATTTAAGACTAGGGCTGGGGGAGAAGGCATGATTGTTGATTAAGTTGATGAGGCATTATTTATACCGCCTGTGTGAATGTCACCTATCTGCATGATGCTTCCTTGCCTGCCTTTCACGGCTCAGGTTAAATGTTTCCTCATTGGTAATATCCTCCCCAATTCTCCTCCAGAAATGTTGGTTCTTAACTTAATTATAGGACTTTTGTTCCATTATAGTTATTTGGTTATATATCGATCTTTCTAAGTATTCCTTAATTTCAGAAATTATTCCTTATATGTGTATTTCCAATGTCTATTTTATATAATGAAGCATCAACATTTCTAGGAAAATCCCATTATCTTATAATTCCACTTTTCCACCAACAATTAAAAGCCCGCTTGTATTGGTCAGTAAATCTGGGTTGAATATAAGAAAGAGTTAATGAATGAAGGAGTGCACAAGCAGCCATGTAAATGAGAGAAAATTAGTAACATATACATGGAGAGCTCAAATAGCTCTCTGCAAAAATCTTTGGCTGAATTAGTATAGCTCAAGCCTACAATTCTTGGACATCTGACAGGTCTCTAGGGATCCAAAGTCTTAAATTCAGGCCATAGAGTATTTCAAGTTTACTGAGAAGCTGTAATATTAATGAGACATTCCATGACCACCCAGACTTTTTATTAAAACACATGGGAGTGGATCCTCAGCCAACGATAACTTTCATCCGCAAAATCTCTCTTAAAGGCAGGCAGCAAGATGACGGACAAAAAGCTGTTACTTCTGTATTGTCAACAAAAGGTACCCGTAGAATGTCAACCTTGAACAGAATATAAATAGCTTGGAACATTTGGGCTGTAGAATTATATATGGGCTCTACAAACATCACCCTCTATTAGACAATCTGGAAACAGTAATAATTATAATGATATAAAACATATTCTCAAGTTTTTCATGTACACTAAAATAAGCAGTTGTTTCCTTTAACCTGTAATCCAACAAAAATGAGCCCGCCATGTTAACAGAAAAAGCCATAGAACCATTATTGGTTTAGATATGGAAATCACATTACCATGCACATGCAGTTGAACATGATGCTGTGTTTCTCCAGCTGCATTGGTAGCCACACATGTGTATCTGCCAGCATCTTCCAATAGGGCTTTGGCAATTTGTAGAACTCGACCAGAAGACTGTATCTAATTGGGAGCAGAAAGCAGGGCAGCATTTTGTGCTTTACACTTGGACTTGAAAACATTCTCTAAGATCGACAAACTCATTTAAATTTATAATCTCTAATTATATTTTCAAGCCAATATCTTAATTATCTCCTGATATAGTAAAGCCAGATCACTTAATCATATACAAGAAAATTGACTAAGTTGATGGAAACACTTTTCTTATTCATTGGAAAAGGCAAAACAAAATAGCCTGAAGCCAGCCTGCTTGTCTAGTCATAAAACTCTACTCAACAGAGGACTTCAGCACTGAACTGTGAGCTATGTGATGTTTGAAAAAATAAAATGGCTCCATTTATGTAACACTTCATAAATAGTTTAAAACAACAATCTTTTTTGATTAAATGGTCAGGGGACTCAGAAAAGCAGCAAAAAGTATGACATAGGACTAACGGGAATGCAGATAAAATTTTCCCTGACAGATTTTCTTTATTTCCCTCTGAAACCCATGGCAACTGGCTTCCACCATTTTGAAGTTGGTTATTCAGAAGTTACTCTTTGTTTATTCAGAGGCTACTAAGAACTTACAACCATGATATCCTCAGGTCTGGTTAAGCTAATATTTGCTTCCAGCATCCACAGTATTTCTATTGCTCTTTGAGTGCCAAGGATACAGCACTCCCTTAGTTCCTGTTCTCTGTCTTTCTTAAGACATTCATTAATAGAATCAGCATCTGCTCCATTTTCCTGTACCATAAGCAGGAAACACATGCTCGTCATAGATTCTATTGGAATCCATAATTTTTTGAAAAGCTATAAAGCCAGTGTTAGCTTCAGTGTCTCTTTTGTTTTATTATTATTTTTAATCATTTTATTAGGGGCTCATACAGCTTTTATCACAATCCATACATATGTCCATTGTGTCAAGCACATTTGTACATATGTTTCCATCATCATTTTCAAAACATTCTCTTTCTACTTGAGCCCTTGGTATCAGTTCATTTCCCACCTCCCCCACCATCCCACCCTCATGAATCCTTAATAATTTATCTTTTTTTTTCATGTCTTACCCCAACCACTGTCTCTCTTTACCCACTTTTCTCTTGTCCGTCCCCCTGGGAGGGGGTTATAAATCAATCATTGTGATCAGTCCCCCCCTTCACTTACCCTGCTAGTACGCTCATGATTGGTCCTGAGGGGTTTCTCTGCCCTGGATTCCCTGTGTTTCCAGCTTTTATCTATACCACTGTACATGCTCTGGCCAAGCCGGATTTGTACGGTAGAACTGTGTTTTTGTTTCCAACCACTAGTTAAATATGTTAACATATGGAATTTAGCACATCTAAAACTGAGCTCAGAAATGTGTCCCTTATATCCTTAAAACCAACTTCGCATCACATCTTCCAGGTCTAGTCTCGTGTAAGGGACTCACTTTCCTTCCAGGCGGCTTGCAGAGACCACTTTGCCTCTCCTGGTAATCACTGTATGTTTCTTAGATCCCCGGTTTCCATTCCCACAGCCACTGTGGGATTACAGTAGCCTCATAACTAATGTTCCAGTGTCTCCAATTGTTTCTACTGTTAATCTATCATGCATACTGCTGCCAGAATAATTTGTCTAAAATGCAAATTTGATTATTTTACCAGTCCCTATTCAAATTGCATTCATGGCTCCCTGCTTTGCCCAGAATGAAATCTGAACTCAGTAGAACACTCCAAACACCACATTCTAACCCCAAATGATCATGTAGACACTTGCCTAACCTGATCTCTAGCCACACTGTACTATTTTCAATATACAATACTTTCAGCAACACATTCATATATTTATGTTCACTACTGCACCTAGCCTTTAAATGCAACAATTTCTTAAGACCACACTATGTCTGTCCCTTCTCTTTTTTTTTTTTGATTACTCTTTTTTCTTTCATTGGGTTAGTTCATCTGTGCCCATGATTTCAAATATTATCTGTCAATATTCAGACACCACTCTATTTTGAGTTTGAGGAGCTTATGCTCAACTATCTACTTGACATCTGTATTATTTTATCTCTGAGTTCCCTCAATCCCAGAGGCCTAAAACTCAAATCATGCTTTAATTTTTTCATACCTCTCCTTTAGTGTCTCCTATCAAACGGAATAAATCATTATTCATTCAATTGAGTAGCTCAGATATCTACAAGCCTTCTGCAACACCTCTCTGGCCCCTTTTGCTTCGTAAAGAGTATAGGACTGCATTAGTAATGCCACTACTACATACCTCAACTCTAGCCAATCCTCATCTCTGAACAGATTGAGAGTCCCAATTTCTGTCTTCTCTATTTTCAAGGCAAATACCAATATGTCTTAATTCACTGCCATATATCTACTCTCCTTCCAATTTATTCTCCAGAAGGGATCAAGATTATGACTGAAAATGCAAGCTGATCATATTCTTCTTCTCCTAAAATCCTCCAGAGGCTTCTCCTTCCTTAACAAAATTAATGAAGACTGTCTCACTCCCTCTCTGGTCTCCACTAAGACCAGCTTTCCCTTTGAACTGTGGAGCTAGACTTGCTTGCGTTTGTGTTCTCAAAATATAGCATGATCTCCATTAATCTAATTTGTTTGCCCATACACTTCTTTGAAATATTCAGTTTTCTTTTATGACTTCACCTACTTAACTGCCAAACATTCCCCAAGTTTCTTCTCAATAGCTTTTCCTGTGAATTTTTGTAATTTTTTTCTCACTATCTGTTCTTTCATATATTCTACCATTTCCCTTAAAATCACATACCATAGTTTATAATTACACTTTTATATGATTATTTGCTAAATGTCTGACTCCAAAGCAAATATTTGTTTACTTGCACTATGTTGTTTACTTGCATGATAGACTGAACCTTTCACTGGCACAAATAAGTTAATTCTGCTGGATGAGGAAAGTGAATGATCAATGAGTAATGAGTAGACCCCCATCGGTCTTCCCGGGAGCAATACTCATCATGTGCTTCGTTACTAAGAACTTACTAACGCCACAGATTAAGGACAACAAATCAATTTATGTGATCCTAATAGCACATCCGTTAATTTCAATTTTAAAAACAATAATTTAGATTATATTCAGGATTGAAATCTATCTATCCACCCACCCATCCATCCCTCCATCCATCCATCCAATAACTGAGCAAATAAGTACTGAGTTAGAATTATAAACCAGTATGAAGAATATATAGGTGAACATGACTAACTGGGTATATCCCATCTAAAGCTTAAACTAGTTCAAAAATGTTTTTTGAGACTTAGTTCACTTGGCTTTATTGAATATGAATTTGCTTCAATCATGCTAAGGTGAACAAATTTGGGATATAGTGTTATAGTATTGATGAACAAAAATTCACCCATGAGATATTATTTTCTCATTAGTTAAAATATGTATAAATCAAAATAAAAGCACCAATCGCTGTTAAAGTCAGTATCATTGTTAAGATCATGAGAGGTTACACCCAGTTTTTAAATCAAAATATGTGGTTATTCTTAAAGACTCTAAGGAAAACACACATTGTTTTAATAGTATCCTCACAGAATCTGTCCAACAGAACACTCTGGAATTAAGGATGAAGAGGATGGTAGAGTGCTCTCTGTTTGGGTCCAGCGGTACTCACGCTTACTTTGAGGTTTCCTTGGGCAGTATTCACAGGTTGGCCATCCTTTAACCATGTGATAGATGGATGCGGAATGCCATTGGCGATGCACTGGAGGGTGACAGACTTGTATTTCACCACAGCTCTCTCCGAGAGGTCGGAGGATTTGATTGTGGGAGGTACTAGGTTTAAGAAGGGGGAAGAAACAAGAAAGGAAGAGAAAGAGAGTGAGGATGAAGAAAAGGAATAAGCAAAGAAAAAAGGAAAGATAGGGGGAAAATATCACAATCAAAGAGGTCAAATACATACACACGAATCTGAAACTGAAAAAAAAATCTGAAACTTTAAAATTGAACAAAGAGGGAAATTATTTCATTCCACATTTTGAACAGTAATATTTAGCAATTTTAAAGGTTACTGCTTATTGAACTATGGATCTCCAATTCTCCATAGAGTATAGGCACATTGTGCTTGCAGTCTATGTATAATATATAATTTTTTACACATTTTTGTGCTGTTTTCCCAAACTATAATGCCCTTTCATTTTTTTCTAGAACTTCCCTCTGTAAATCAGTATGAGTTCTGGGTATATATATTTATAATAATGTATAACTCTCTCTGCCCCCAGGAAGGCAGATTGAACCTAGGATGATAACTCCATTTAAAGGGGGACTGTCAGAAGCCTTCTCGTAGGGATTGGAATTGATACCAAGAAATGGGACAAGCCATATTACATCCTGGGAATGAACAGGCAGTGGAAAACAAACCAATATACAAAACAAAAAGTCTTCAGAGACAGAGTGAAAAATAAAGTTGACATTCAGAGAAACCTCTGCTCGTGGCTTCTCAAGGGCTCTCCAGTTTCTGGTTCCAGACCCTCGCTGCCCAAGCTCTGTGGCAAGTAAGACACACAACACTCTGGTGCAGGGCTCCTTCTCTCCTTAGACTTAGGGCTGGGACTCACGTGCCAGTTCTGTGAATGCACTTAGTTTCCCTGGTTCCTTCAAAAACATAATCAGCCTCTATTTCTGGAAGCGACTCTATTCACATTCCCTCCTGTTTTGGCTAAACTATCCAATGCTGGCACAACCCTTTTTCACTTTGAATTTTCGATCCGCCTCTTCTATCTTATTATCCTCATTCTGGCTTTCTATGCAGAATACACTGCTCATCACTTAAATTATGACAAAGTCCATTCCTCTGGTACCTCTTGTTTGAGTCTCTGTCAGAAGGGTGCTTTAAGGTCTGCCATTGTTTAACTCACATTTGAATCTTCCACACTCCTTTCCACAACTCACGATGGATCTAAATTACTAAGCTACAATCTGAATTAGATAATGGCACAATACATAAAATCATTTTTACGTCTGTTGCTCCAGTCCCTTTGTCGCCCTACCATGAACAGTGACTTCAAACTCTTTCTTGTTCTCTCCAGCAGCGTTGGCTGCCACACACCGATAAAGACCTGTGTCTGACACTTGAGCCTGGGCAATAACCAGTTTGCGTCCATTTAGTAAAACCTTGAATCCGTCTCTTTCATCGATTGGCTGACCGTCTTTCAGCCACCTACAGAAAAAGAGCAAGAAAAAGACTGGAAATATACATTTAGATGAGTAAGTTTCTGGCATCCTCTGTCTATGGAGAGAAAATGATCAGTGGTGTATCTGTCTACGTTCACATTCTGCTGCTCATTCTGTACCTGGGAGGCAGAGGGAAAGGGAAGCCTGAATGAACACAAAAGTTGGCAGACGGTTGCCACCTAACAACTTGCGGATTTGAACTGCCAAACTTGTGGTGATCAGTCCAGTGCTTAATGCTTAACCCAATGTCCATCAGGGTTCTTTTGAGAGCTGTGAGTTAAGCATGAAAGTTCAATTTCTTTATTTGTTCTTTGCTGATTCTGGGCTACCGAAAAAGCACATCTCTTAAAGAGTACCCATTTCAAACTTTTAAATTGTATCAACAAGAAAAACCCACACAATCGTCAAACATCTATAGACTAAAACCCTGGAATCACAAAAAAAAAAAATGCAAAAAATGTTTTGCATTTCCTATGAGAGTCATCATTTTCCATTTAGTTCTATGATAGCGTGTGAATAGGTTATTTCCCTCATAATTCATGCCTATATTCCCTTCCATCATGCTTTGAAAATGAATGATAGTATTCAATAAACATACTGAATGAAAGAATGGGAACAATCAGCAAATATAAGTGCACGTCAACTCTCATGATTTCTTGAATATGTTTGTACATTTTAAATTTACTGATATATTTGCATATTTCACATATAAGGCATATAAGCCTTTTCTGCTTATGAGTATAAGCAGAAAACATGCATGACACACACAGGAAACTAACCTATGAGGCAGTTGTGTGGTTTGAAAAAAATATATAATGATCATGATTATTTCACTAAAATACAGTAAACGCTTCAGTTGTACATAGGTATGGTTCAATATTCTGTGTCTATGAGTTGAAAACATACTGGGCTTCTAACCTCAAGGTTAGCAGTTTGACATCACCAGGAGCTCTGTGGGAGCAAGGTGAGGCTTTCTACTCCCATACACGGTTACAGTCTCTGGCACCCACAGGAGCAGTTCTATTCTGTGCTACAGAGTTGCTATGCGTCAGACATGGACTCAGTGACAAGGAGTTTGGTTTAATAATGTAATTATTCTTTTTTCTTCAAATTCAGGGGCCCTGTGAGTGTCAAAAGAAGTTGCCTTGTAGGTGAGGTATGTCTTTTAAAAGAGAAATATAAAGAAAGCAATTTCATGCAACCACTTTTTAATGACACAGGGCAGCTTACAAGACAGCTTTGAAACATTCCAATAAAAAACTGGGAGGTATTTAGAAGACATACCAAAACCCTTACATGATAGTTGGTGGGGGTGAGCCTGTCACTTGGCAATCTAGTTCCAGTAAGTTATGAACCATCACAATGAAGTAAGATGTTTCATCTCCTCCTTCTACAGTTGGTGGCACTAGAAAATAAGGAGGCCATGTCAATGAAACATGAACATGGAAAATTACATCATTGCATCAACATACTGTAACTTGGCACCAAAGGTGGATCTATGACCCAATTACAAATGGCTAGCTTCAGATTTTTTAAAATAAACACGTGTCAGAGCCAATGAGTATCTTTTTGACATATTGTGGATTTTTCACAATTATTCTAGCATCACAAGGCTGCTGATGCCCTATGACTATTAAGCTCATTTATATTTTCATACTATCTATAGCCCTTATCTGTTAGATGAGGGAGCTTCTCAACTGTGACACCTCTTCACAAGGTTTTAGTTTATAGAGAAATAAAGAGAGACTCAAGTTTGGATCAAAGTACAGAGACTAAGTTTCCATTGTCTGACTAGTGCTTAGGACAGAAGACTATGTTGCTACAAACTGAGATCTGATATTGTCACAGATTCAAAAATTCAGGTATGCCCTTACAAACATAAAATAGATCTACCAATACTAGTAGAAAACTTAGGTGGGTTTTCAGAGCTTGGAAACAGCTGTAACAAACCCACCTCTTGACAATGTATAGTCAAGAATGAACAGATAGCTAAACGGCCTTGGATACTGTTTATTATTTCACGAATAAAACAGTATTTGAGAAATTAGGCTTGCTATGAATCGGAGAAACCAGGAAATGTCATCCTCATTTACCTAAGACATCAACTTCATATTTTATCTCCTTTTCTCCTGCCACACTGGTAGCCACACATACATACTGGCCCCGGTCGACTTCCAGGGCATTCATGATTTCGAGCTTCTTCCCACCAGCTTCTATGTGGATGTTGCCATTGGCTTTCACAGGCACACCATCTTTTAACCAGGTGAGAACAGGAGGAGGGTTGCCAGCAGCTTTGCACTCCAGTGTCAGGGAATGGCCAAGCAGGACTTGTTTACTCAACGGTGTGGTCAAGTCACCTTCAATCATTGGAGGAACTAAGTAGGCAAAAGTATTATTTCAGGTATCATATTGTCCAGTCACAAAATACATTCACTGAAATAAAGGGGATATTATTTCCTACGTAAATTGAATATAAGAGCTATCTACATCTGGGGAAAGCATTGATTGGTTCATCTGACCTGCAGTTATTCTAACGACTCTAAAATATACTACAGGTTTGACAAATAAAGGACAAACAATGGAGACAGATCTTAGTCTACTCAGCTACACTACCTTCCTTCTCTCTAATAACCAAAAGGCCTGGACTCTCCAAGTGCACTAAGCTTGTCTAAAGTTTTACAGAAATATTTTTCCAAATCATGGGGCAGATTCCCCCAAGTCTTATCCATGCACATGGAAAACAGCCAAGACTGTAGCATTTGGTTAGTGAACTAGCTGGAAGTAAGTACATTAGAAATTGTAGGCAGAAAGAATGGAAATCAAACATATATTTTCCTTTACCATAGACATCCACGTGGAATGATTTTTCAGCAGTTCCTGCAACATTGCTTACATGACAGGTGTATGTTGCCGCATCAGAGACTTGTGCTCGATGGATCTGAAGAAACTGTCCTTTGTCAATATAGAGCGTTTGTGAGCTGGACATGACTGGCCGGCCATCCTTATACCAAGTAATAGCAGGCACTGGAAGGCCCCGAGTTTCACATTCCAGTCGAATGACACTGTTGATCAATGCTGACAGCTCCGTGGTGACATTCCCTCTAATGCTGGGTGGAACTGCAATGGATTTCAGAAAGAGAGAACGCACATGTCTTCTAAGCTTCAGCATCTGCATCAGAATCCTAAGTAGTATAGATATTTAAATAATGCTTGTGGAGGGAATATGAACTAAAGGCAATTTGCGATCTATCTACTCATAATGATTTTCCTGTCTTGTCAAGATAATCTTCATCCTCCTCCTTTAGAATTTCAGATTTGAGTAAAAGCAGGGATGCACAGCTTTAGTCTCAGGGGTTTCCTAGATCATACCAGAATAACTAAAAAATGTTACATCGACAAAACAAAGAAAAGCAGAATTAAACTTCACTTACTCTTTCTATAACAAGTTTAAAACCAGGCCAAGGTAGCAAAAATGTCAGAAGTACAACTGTATGTAAACCCATAAAGTCTGAGTGCTTTCAGAACCAGCTACTGGTAATAGCGATGGAGTTTTAAATGTTTGCTTCTTGTTATTTGGGAGGGCGGGCTGAGGGCTACCGAGAGCCCATTCATTCAGCTAATTGGCTACATGCGTATCATCCACAATTCGGCATCTGCCTGCCTGACCTCCCTTATAACACGAGGGTTGTACTGTGGGAAATACAGCGCAAGAGGCTCAAATTCACAATACAGTCTTAATATGATCTTTCCGGGACTGCATCATTACAACAACTTAAAGGAAGTCAAATGGCATATTCAGAGTATCTGAATACAATCGTAGTAAACTTTATCTTAGAATGGCCTTCTCACTATCATCGAGTAGATGCTGCCTCATAATGACTTGACAGGACAGGGTAGAACTGCCTGTGTGAGTTCCCCAGCTCTAAATAAATGTGAATGGTCTATTTACAGAGAATTTCTTTACATCTCACATCCAATTCTCCTATTTTACATTTACTTGTACTTATGTCTGACTTTACTACAATACATTTGTCACACCTAATGGACAAAATGGAATCCCAAGGGCACAATGGGTAAAGCTTTTGTTTGCTAACCCAAAGGTCAGCAGTTCAAACCCACCAACTGCTTGGTAGGAGAAAGATGTGGCAGTCTGCTTCACATCTGTACACATTTACAGCACTGAAAACCTCTGGGCAGTTATACTCGATCCTAGAGAGTTGCCCTGAGTTCTAATTGACTTAAAAGGCAATGTGTAATGGACCAATAATGACACTTCAGAATTGGCTAAACAGTGGACTTAAATTTCTTCTTCTTTTTTTTAATCTAACACTTTTTATTGTCCCAGGATTCCAAGCAAAATACTTCACTACATGTAGTTGCCGGGTTTCCTCTGGCTTCTGTGATATCCCCTGTTTTGGATGACTGACACTTTTGAAAAACACTGATCAAATATTTCGCAGAGTGTCACGCAGTTTGGGTTTGCCTGATGTTCTTCTCATGGTTATACTAGGATTGTGGATGTTTGGGAGGAAGATCCCAATTGTACCACATCAAGTCAAGTTTACATGTAATCAACATGATTTAAGACTGTTGATGACTCTGATCACCTGGTTGAGGTATGGTTTACCAGCTTTCTCACTGCAAAGTTACTCTATCTTACTCATTTACCATTTAAGAAATATTGAGATGGTGTATTTTTAGTAGTTGCCTGGTGATGCAAACACTGAAGTTCAAATCCACCCTCTATTGGTAGACTTCGTGATTTGCTTCCAAAAGCTTACAACCGGATGGAGAAATTGTACTCCACAAGAAATACATGAGGTTGCTAGGAATTGGAATTCACTCAACAGCAAATAACAATATCTGGGTTTGAAAATGAGATTTTTAAAGATAAAATACATACAATCTCATAGAGGCTACACATTTGAATAAAATTTTATAACACCGAATATTAACTTTGAAAAACAATTAGATGAAATGTTGCTTCTCCCAATATAACATCATTATTCTCATTAGCAGACATGTTAATTTTCAATCTTGTCAATAAACTATTTGTGGAAAGGCACTTTCCCTCTTCCGAAAACTCACTTCCATCACCAGTTCTGACTCATAGTGACCCGATAGAAAGGTGCTATGTGTTTGTGAGAATGTAAGCCTTCATAGGAGCAGACAATCTCATCGTTCTCCACTGGTTTTCAATTGTTGACCTTTCAGGTAGTGGTGCAATGCATATGACATCTTACGTTATTTTGGAAATGTTTGCTTTAGATTGCTAAATCAGCTGACTCATCTAAATAATTGTCAAGTGCATTAATAAGGAAAGTAAGTTAAATAAAAAACTCTATCCTCCTGAACCTATTATAAATATCATTTACACCAAAAAGAATCTATTTAAAAGGTTGGATTTAGGAAATTGAGAAATATTATTCAAAAAGTATTTTCAATGAAGGGTAGAACACTATGTCTTCCACTGCTTGCACTGGCCAAATAAATATTTCACTTCCTATTTCATTTTCCTTCATAAATACTTGTCTGGGAACTAACTCCTCATGGCTAGGGAGGTGGGAAGTGTGTGGAGAACTAAAGAGAAAAGTTTTGGAGCAGTGTGCATTAAAATGTATTCATGTGTATATTTACAAAAATTTTTACCCATGTGGGAAGACTCTCACACTCTGAAACCCTTCTATAAACCTCCGATGAAAACTCACCGATGAAAACGGTGAGTTGTGAATCTGCTTAGTCTGGCAGTGCTGTTGTCAGTCGGGTGCTAAAGAATCTCTTCCAACTCGGAGCAATCCTGTTCACAACCGAGTGGAGTACCGCATGGTCGTGTGCCATCACCACAATCAGTGTACTTGGGCCCACCGCTACAGCCACTGTGTCAGTCCGTTTCCTCAAGGCCCTTCCTCTTGTTCGCGGCCCCTCTCCTACACCAAGCACAATGCTGTTTGCAGCTACTGGTCCCTCTGACAACGTGCCCAAAGGAGGTCAGAGGAAATCTCAACATCTCAGTTCTAGGGAGCATTCTGGTTGTACTTCTTTCAGACAGATTTGTTTGTTCTTCTGGCAGTCCATTGAGGAGCTTCCAATATCCTTAACCAACACCACAATTCAAAGGCAGCAATCAGTTGGTCTTCCTTATTCATTGTTAATTGAAAATACCATGGCTTGGGTCAGGCACACCATAGTGCTCAAAATTATGTTTGCTCTTCAACACTTTAAAGAGGTCCGATGTAGCACATTTGCATAATGCAATATACATCAGTTGATCTGCCCATAGGTTATTAAAACCTCGTTTATTGCTCTGTTTTATATATTCTTTCTTTTCCCTTTTCTTTTATTTCACCCGCTTATTTTGTCTACACTTCTTTCCTTAGTCAGACCTACTGTGTAATTCTGTCTTGCAGATGAAAACATCCATGTTGGAATGATTTTAAGGAAATTAAATAAGTAAACGGTCATTTGTGCTACAGTCTCATTGTGAATTCTATGTAAATATTCCAGACAGACAACCAAGGCACCTTATCTGTTTCATATATCTACTTAATTATACATCTGATTGTTTATAGATATATTCACTTCAGAGGGAAACAACACATTAAGCTTCCAATTACCTACTCAGAGATTCAGGAGAGATTGTGAGTGAGGAAACAGTATTATTTCCTGGAGGCTAATACACAAAACTCCACACTGTTTCAATGCCTTTTATCTCAGACAATCCCAGAAACTTTAATCATTAGAGACGGTTCTCTTCTGAGTGCCTGCGGGCATCCTGCATCTTGACCAAGAGGAACTGAAATAAAGGAACTCAAGTTCCCTGGAAATAGGAGTCTTACTGCATCACGAAATATATTCATCACAGACCCTGGCAGCTGTCTGTACAACAGTGACGAGGAAACCACTCTGTTAACAGTGTAGGGAAGCGACTGCACCTTGTTGTTTAATGTCAGGCTTTGGTAGGAGGCCAATGGTAGCAATAACACTTCTTTTTTTCAACTTGGATGCTTGTATATTGAATCTTTTAGTAGTGTAATTCCTTTTTGAAGGACACTTCTTTTTATGACTGATGTCTTCCACGGGCTTCTATTTATAGATACATGATTTAAAAGCCTGCATTAAATTAAATTTCTTCGATTCCAAAAATCAATGAACAATTTACATAACGATACTGTGGTGCCATGAAGTACTTGATATGGTTCTCCTAACCAAAGTCTCTGTAACGCCTATCAAGTGACCTTTTCCTGATGGGTCTGGGTAAGGGAAAGCAGGGGACGATGCTGATAGGTTATATGGCTCAGTTGTGAGTGACTGTTAACAGGGTTAATTTTGATTATAAAAACTTAGAACTCTTATGTGGGAAATTTGTTGATTTTGCCATCCTTCTGGGTGCAAAGTGAGCTATCTCAGAGGCTGGAAGAGGAGCTCTCAGTAGCAGTAAATGAAGTGTGTACTTTGGACCCCACAATCACAGTGCACTGAACCTCCTCAATCCAGGGACAGAAAACTGTAATGCCAGAGAAGTGGCAGAGTAGCACAGAAGCAGAACCAAGAACCAGAGCATGACACAGTTCGGTGCCTGCAGGTAGGAGGAATGTTCAGAGATTGGGGTGGCCTCAGGTACTGAATTGGAAGAGCTAGATTTGCTAACCCATGGAGCTGCAGCTCAAGCCTTAACTGCCCTTAGAACATTTATCTGCAGCCCCAAATGAGCTTTTAACCTGGCCTGAATAGGCAGGAGGCAAGGGGTCTCCTGGCTGAGAGCTTGAAGATCAGAGCGACCAATCTGTGGCACAGCAGAGGACGTTTTCCAGAACAAAGAACTGTGTCCTGAGTGTGCTTTATTCTGATTTATAACCAGTTAATTTCCCTCATAAATTCCATAACCATAAGTATGACTTGGCAGTTTTGCGTGGCCATTCCAATGAATTATTAAACCCAGCTAAGAAGTGGAGCTTGCCATGGGTAGTGCAGGAAATATCAAAGTTGGCAATAAAGTGGGAATGGGGAGGCACGTCTGAAGGCAGCATTGTAGAAATCATCCTTGGAATAATGTGGAATGTCATTCTCATTCCTCGTTGTGAAGGCAGAGAAGGTCAGAAAAGGTCATCTCCACACTGCTCTTACTGATCTCAGCATTAAAAAAAAGACAATTAGAATGCACATAAGAGCCATACATTTCAAGTTTGACCCTGTATTTATTTAAAATTTTAATATAGTGCAATTATTATATAGCTAATGACAAATGAATAACATTAAGCTTTTACTATAAACTAGTTAATCCAATTATGACATCGACCATTTGATCTTCGCAATAATTGTATTGTCATCCCCAAACTCACTGCCATCAATTTGATTCTGACTCATAGTGATGCTCGATAGGGTTTCTGAAACTGCATGTTTTTACGGGAGTGGATAGCCTCATCCTTCTCTTGAAGAGCAACTGCTATGTTTGAACCGTCAATCTTGAAGGTAGCAGTTCAACACCTAATCCGCAGAACTGCCAGGGCTCCTCAATCATACAGTTAAGCAGGTACACGCATGATCTCCAAGGAGCTCTAATGGTGCTATCCAGTGAGTGTGGGGCAGCTAAACACAGAGTTGGTGGTTAAAACCAGCGAGCTGCTCCTTAGAAGAAAAAAGAGGCTGTCTGTACCTACAAAGATTTACAAAGCTTCAGAAACTCTATGTAGGTTGATATGAGTCAGAATTGGTAATAAATGGAATGGAAGTGATATTAATACATTAATTAATTTGACAATTTTCTCTTTAGAGCGATTGTCAACAGTAGTGTTTTTTTTTGTTGTTGTTTATGATCACCATTTTCTTGATGTGTAATGAAGATCACAGGTATCGGGTGATTGATCCGGTGTTACTGAATTAAAGTGTTATGGAACTAAGTATCTAATTTATAATTTTCTAGTAGGCACATTTAAAAAGGAAATATACTTAATTTAACCTGAAATCCAAAATATCATTTCAACATTGAATCAATACAAAAATTATCATAGCTTACATATTTTTACATTTATTAAGTCTTCCATATTTTTGTGTACTTGATATGTGGTGTCTATCCCCATGTGGTATCTGTCCCCATGTTGCAATGGTTAGGCTCTCTGCTCTTAACTTTGGCTGTTCAAATCTACCCGGAGGCTGTGCAGGAGAAAGAACTGGCCATCTGCTTCAGTAAAGATTACGGAGGAAACCCTATCGGGCAGTTTTACTCTTGCACATAAGGTTTGCTCTGAGTCAAAAATTTACCTAACCATACCATCGAGTACTTTCACTTACATGCATCTTAATTTGAGTAGTCACATTTCAATGCTCAGTAGCCACATGTTGCTAACGGCTACTGTGTTTTATATGAATTCTTTTTTTCTTAAGGAATACTGTATCGCAGACATTTGACCAATGAGCCCTGATGACACAGGGCTAATGATGGGCTAATCAGGTAAGCAACTTAAACTCACCAGCTGCTCCTCAGGAGAAAGACAGGAGGCAGTCTGCTTAGGTGAGGCCTTGGAAATCCAATGAGACAGAACTACCCTGTCCTATATCACAGCTATGACTTGGAATCGACTAAACGATTGTGGGGTTTTATTTAAAGTTACAGTGTTAGGGTGCTGGTTTAGTAGTGATAAAATGCTCACCTGCTAACCAAAATGTCGGCAGTTCAAACCCACCAGCCACTCTTTGGTAGGAACCTGGGGTAGTGTGCTTTCACAAAAATTATGTTGTAGGAAATCCATGGGGCCATTTACTCTGTCCTAGAGGGCTGTTATGAGTGAGAATCAACTTACTGGGGTTAAGACTTTGGTAATGACATGAAAATAGATCCTTCTTATGAACTGCATGTTCTTTGAGGAGAAGCAACCATTAAACAATAAGGTCAAATAAGCAATATCCTCTCAAACAATAATACCGTGTATACTTGAGTATAAGCAGGCCTGAATATCAGCCGAGGCACCTAATTTTACCACAAAAACTACATTAAAAATGTGCTGAAAAACTTGGCTTATTCACGAGTATATACGGTATGTGTTATGAAAAAAAATAGAACCATGGAAGTACAATTAGGTGACTGCTGGGATTGCAAGAACCCTGTGAGGAGGTGACATTCTGAAATAAATATCTAAGGTTTCCTTGAATATCCACAACAAATGAACAGAAGATAGCTAATTGAGTGGAGCAACAATAAACCTGGTGTGTCTACTGGATTCTATTCCTTTCCATTGTATAAATCCTTACCCTAGGATGTTCCTGGGCTTTCCTACAATGCCATTTATAAAAGTAAAATGTCCTTGGCAATTACCTCTCAGAGAAGACATGAAGAATTGTGGGAAACTAGAGCTGTATGAACATTTGATTTATGTGTCAGATAACCGATTAGAAAATACTTGACCTCTTAAGTATGATCATACAAGAAACACTAGATGACTTGAAGGAATAAAAAAGCACTTAACTACAAGTTGAAAGATTGGTGATTCAAATTTGCCCAGAGATACCTTGAAGACAAACTTGACTTGTAGTTGCTTCCAAAAGACTGCACCCCTGAAATCCCTATGGACTAGTTCTACACTACACAGGGGGTCAGTTGTCAAGTGTCGTGTCCATTATTAGATGGAAAAGAACAAGATTGATGCTATCGGTAGGTGCTTTCAAGTTGGTTCCAACTCACAGTTATCTATGCACCCAGTGCTGTCTGTCCTGGTCCATCCTCGCAGTTACTCCTATGCTTCGGTGTGCAGTCAATGTATCAATCCACCTTGTTGAGGATCGTTCTCTCTTTTTGCAGACCCGCTACTTTACCATCACAATAGCTTTCTCCAGGGGCTGGTCCCATGTCCAAAGTACTCAAGAGAAAGTCTTGACATACTTGCTTCTAAGGAGTATTCTGACTGTAGTTCTTCTATACAGACCGATTCATTCTTCTGGAAGTCAGTGGTTTACTTAATATTCTTTGCCAACACCATAATTTAAAGATATAGACTCTTCTGTGGTCTTCCTTATTCATTGTCCATCTCTCACATGCTTATGAGGTGATTAAAAATACCATGGCTTGGGGCAGAAGCACCTAAAATGCTTTAAAACTGAGTGCAAAACTGTAGTCTAAAACATATGAAGAAGGTAGGTCCTTTCTTCTGTTGTGGTAGCAATCCAAATATTCAATAGTGATTAAAAAGGAATTAACATTAGAGTCAGTGATATTTAACTTATAATGAGAGTTTATAAATAAAAAGGATAGGAAAAACCACACTTACTATAGATGGTCAGTTTTATATCCTTGGCTTGTTTGCCAGCTGCATTAGACACAGAACACTGGTACCGTCCCTTGTCACTTCGTCTTGCATTCTTTAGATGTAAAATTTGTCCTCTGTCTAGAAGTTCAATATTAGGGTCTCCCAAAAACAAAGGCCTGGAGAAAATAATGTTTGATTCCATGTTTCTATTTTCACTTTAGTATATTTCCTTTTCTTAGCAATCACAGAAAAATAAGCAATATCAAGTAAAAAAAATCTGTTATCAAGGTTGATTAAAAAAACAGTATTGTGATAGGTAGCTCCTATATAGAAGAATGAAATCCTTAAACTTTTACTAGTGGAGGCTAACTAATCAGTACTTGAGGGATGAAAAGTTTCTCATTTTAAAATCAAGTTCTTTAATAATGCACATATTAATAAAAACTTTAAATTACCAATATTTGCTTCATTTATTCTTCCATCCTTCATTTCTCTCTCTCTCTCTTGTTTTCAATGTCAAATTTTATATCATCAAATAGAGAAGGAAAATTAGGAGCCTCATTCTACAGCATAGTAACTGCAGGCCAAGCAATATTATATTCAAACCAATACCATAATATATGGAAAAATATTCACAATTGAATAAATTATTATTATATACTGAAGGCAGTTATTACAAAACACCTTGTTAGATAGGTATTTTAATAAATATGAATATGTTAATAATAAATATTGAAAGATTTTGCAAACACCAAATGTAAGCTTTTATATAGTTACCAGGCTATAATCAGTTATGGACAACTATCAAATTGTCACTTTGGGCAATTGGCAGCAACTTTAATACTTACAACATCATGGTTATTAAGAGCTGTGATATCCTCAGGCATACCATTAAATCTCACTCATTTCATTTCAGGAAAACCCATAGCTAGGTTTTGAAAAGTTTCATTGAATTAAGCATATGATCAATAATTAGATGTCCTCTTAGATTAATAAGCCATTAGTAAAAGTATATGACCAAGTATAAAGCACAATCAATTTTCTTTGCTAGCATGCTTGACAACTTCTTTAAGAAAAATTCCCAAGAGTTAAGAGAATAACGTAGCTTAATGAATTTCAGTGATTTCAGTGGTGTGACTACCTGGTAATTTACTCAAATTTAGGAGGTCCTCGGCGTGTCAGATAACCGCTGCGAATTGCCTGTGGGGTTCTAATCTACATCCTCCCCAGCAGAGTACTCACTCCCACTCCCAACACAGGAGCCAGTGCCTGGTATTTCCAAACCCTTTCCGCACACCCCTGGATTCTCTGATTTGTGAAAAGAAAATACTTCTGTTTTTTATTTACCTTCCCTTAATTATTAAGGGTAAGAATCTTTTAGTAAGTTTATTGCCTACTTATATTTCTTTCTTTTTCTTAATTGCTAGTTCATACCTTCCATACACGTATGGCATTATGCTGTATGATATGCTATTGTCGGTCTTCTTTTGCTGGTTTGTAAAAAACGGGAAATAATCCCTTATTTTGTCTGCTGCAAATATTTATCATGTGTGGCTAGGCCTGATACGCCTGCTCTAGGAAGCTACTCTAATAGACAAACATGGGTCACCCTGTGAGGGATAAGTTCTCACACCCACACTGCACGGTGCTAATTCAACTATCTGATGGCTCAGCCACGGCTCCTTTCCCCTCGCGTGCATCACAGTCTGACACAGGCATCTTGGTGTCATGGGCACATTTATTTTTTGGAGGGGTTTTTCTTTTAAATTCAACAATTATATTTCATTGTTAACCTGCAGTAGAGACTAATTATGTATATAAATAAATTTGTGTAATTTATAGTCTGGTAACTCATAATAATGAAAGATATGATAAGACGTTGGAACCATTTTTTAGGAATATTCTTTTTCAATCATGCTTACTTATTAACATTGTGTGGCACAGATTCACGGGCATTGATACATTTATTTCTCATAATCTGGGATCAAATAAAATGAAGAAAAGGTACTCACTTGTTATCTTTAAACCAATGAATAACAGGGAAGGGCGTGCCTTTGACCTGGCATTCGAGGGTGGTGTCATGGTTGAGTAGAACTGAGGCTTCTCTTGGGGAGCTGGCACCTATTATGGTGGGTGGAACTTAAGCAAAGACATTTGATCATGAAAATCTATGACTTAGTACAAACAGTGTTTGCTATAGTATTTCAATGAGCTTTAACGTGCAAAGTAAAACATCATACAGCAATCCCTCTTGAAGTCATCACTATTAAACGGGAGGACTCCAGGGTTAAGCTTAATCATCAAACCACATTCATGAAAGATTTGCTAGCAGGACAATTGCCTGGAAGGATTACAATAGTAGTGAATTCATTTTGAGGAATATTAAATCCATGTGGAGTAAGAGTTTGGACTGTAAGTGATTGGTAAAGCTCATAAATACAATTTACTTCTGCTATATATTTTAGATCATGAAAAATAACATAGTACAAGACATATGAATGTTCACTTCTTCAAATTATATACCACAGTGCTACCTGACTTAAATAACCTGTCACTTTAGAATTCTTTAAGCTAAAATTGGAGATGCACCATAATTTGAAAAAGAAAGTGCTAGTTTTATTCTCATAGCAACTCTGCAAGGCAGGGTAGAACTGTCCCAGTGAGTTTCTGAGACTGTAACTCTTTACAGGAGTACAAAGTCCAGTGTTAGTGGAAATTATTTGGGCTTTTCTTCTGAGATGGTTCCACCTTACATAGGTTTGGGCTTTTCTAAGTTTTCCATGTAGCTTTAGAGCTCAGAGAAGTCTGAGCTGGAGCTCAGACTTTGGGAATCATCAGCACACAGATGGAATTAAGTTTGGCAGTAAATATGTGCCAAAAGAAAGAATTCCAGTAAAAATAATGTTAAGAAAGATGATTTAATTTGTTTTATATTTTCCATTTAAACACACGTATGCAAATCATTTTCTTTTTTGCAGAGGAAATGCAAAGTCCTCCAGCTTTTGATAACACAGACGAGAGGAGTGCTTTAACTGTTAGGACCTTACTGTGATCCTCAACTTACAAAATATAGAAGGGCGCTCTAAAAGTTCCATTCTCTTTCAATTCCATTATTTCTACAAATTTTTGAAGCTCCTCATATGTCCATTTAGAAGGACAAAACATTGAAAAGAGAGAAATAAGCCATTTGATTACAGACTGACCTGTCGATGTCAGTGTAATTATAAATGGTAAGCTAAAATTCAAAATTTAACATTGGCACTTTCAAAACTAGAAACATTTTATATCCCAACTTATTTCTCTGCAAACTCCTCTTGGCATGTTCTTTCATTGGTTAGAATCAGGGTTGAGGTGATTGCATTTTCAAGAATAAGAGTGCGGAGGTAGGAGGACGTATTACTCTCCAAGTTCAAGTACAAGCTAGTAGAGTCAGTGACCTCCAGAGTGAGGACGAGACTACCTTGCATTATCTTCTAGGACGGCCTCCTGGAGTATTTCCTGCCCATGCACTGAAGAGTGACACTGTTAAATTTTATGATTTTATGCACAAGATAGTACCATATTCCCAAAGTATCTCCATGAGATATACAAAATATGCATTCAAACTTCCCATATCATATGTTTCTGGTTAACCAATATTAGCAGTGAAAATAATACTATGATCAAAGGCGGTATTTTTTCCATGACTTGAACTGTTTCTTTGTATTTTCATGTAGTCAGCTCAGTCCTTTATAATAAGTGCATCTGAAATGCAGATTTTCAAAAGAATGTTATGCTTACCTAGTACTTCAATGTTAAAGTTCTTCTGAGACGTGCCTGCAACATTAATCGCCTTACAGGAATATCTTCCTGAATCCTCTGGAGTGGCTTTAAAGAGCCTCAGTATCTTCCCGTTGTTCACGATCTGAATAGTATTACTTTCAGTCACCTTTGAGGGCCAAAATGACCAGTTATTTCTAACCTTATAAAAATGTATATTGAGAAATTAGAATACAATTTTAGTATTACTATTAATAAGGAATTAATGATAAACTATTCCACAGGCATTTAGTCAAGGGATTATACATATCTGGAGGTTTCCAATTACCTGGACTTCATCTCGATACCACATAATGATGGGGGCTGGAGTACCTTCAACTTCACAGAAGAGATTGGTTGCTTGATTTAGCAACACTGACACATTTGTTGTTTGATCTTTATCTTTTATTACTGGAGGAACTGTAAAAATATGAACAGATCATTCATAAGAAGTTTTATTTAGAAAAATTATTTATATCCAGCTATCTAATGGCTAGAGAAGCTTACAGTATTTTAGTTTGCTATAAAATGAACAAAACTTCTTGTGTAATGTATCTATAGGTAAATATACTTAGGATTTTTACTGTGAGTTTTGGAGACTGTAACATTTTACCAGAGTAGAAAGCCTTATCTTTCTACTTGGAGTAGCTAGTGGTTTCAAACTGCTGACCTTATGGTGAGCAGCTCAGTGCATCACCACGATGCCACGAGGACTAGGTATACCATGGTTTATGTTTTAAAGGGGCTGAATGTTATATATTTATATTTCCTTATACATGTACAAAACGTTTGGGAACACACCCACACACAATTGATAACTTCACTTATCTATCTTTTTGTACCATTGAATTTTGAATCATATAAATTCATATGTAATAAAAAATTATATGAAGTTATAATTCTTATAAATACATGCAACTAGACCACTGACTTCCTGCTTGAAAATTCATCCATTCACATTAATATTAAATAATATTACATCGGAGACATAAATACAAATGAAAATTTTCAAACCTCCCATATTTAGTTGAATGCTTTTAGCATCTTCATGCATATTTACCATGTACTTTGAGGTTATATTTTTTTTCTGTAGTCCCAGCCTCATTGATTGCGACACAGATGTATTCCCCATTGTCATACGGTGTTACTGCAGCAATAACCAACAATGTGCCATCTTCCAAGATAGATACACCCGGCTCTCTGCCTGACAACTCTCTACCATTACGTAGCCATTTGATGGTCGGTTTTGGCATACCTAAGTAAGATATTAAAAGTCTGGTTATATTTTTTGCAGCAAAATTAGAAATAATAATTAAAAACTATCAAATATATTGAAGAGAAATAAATTTTTGTCATAACTACAGCTTGCACCCTTAAGTACTGTACTTTTCTTACTCATCGCTATTGAATCAATTCTGATTCACTGGCAACCAACCCTAAAGGATAAGGTAGAATAAGAGTCGACAAAAGTGTAAACCTTTACAGGAAGAGAGAGCCTCATCTTTCTCCCAAGTACTGTGACCCAATCCAAATATTTCTCCTGGCATGAATGTTTTTTAATTACAGTATTGAAAGCCTCTAATTCCAGATTCGTCTTAAGATATCTATGACATTAGAATAAAATACTAACTTAGTTATATCAAAACACTCATATGAAATGATATAAGGCAAACTGTTTGCTTGCGTGAGTTTAAGATGACTATTGAGGATAAGAAAAATCAGGACTAGAATTGGAGAGGTTCTTGGCATGAGGATAAAAGAAGAGCAAAAATAAGTCACTTCCAGATGAATACAATATGAAGATTGTCCAAATAAATATGAAAGATGTACACACATAATGCACCATTCCAAGAGGATTTGGTATAGATGAAAACTTCCCCTATGCACACATCTGTTGGAGATCTCATTCTACTAAGGTAGGGCAAGACACCAATTCTTGCCATTTCCTATTAAAAAGAAAGTTGTGAAAACAATGATGTGGATTGCCTTCCTGGATTAAGTTATGATTAACAATGTGAATCAATAAAAGGGATAAAACCATCTTAGAGAACATAATGAATACAAATGGACATACTAAAAATAGACACTGTTAACTCTATACTTACAATTTATTTATTTAGCAGTTTGCCAAGTACTATTCTAAAAAAATTTAATTTAGTTGACCCTTATAAAGAAAAATCACACTAAATAAAATCTATGTGACTGTATCACTCACTGCCATCAAGTCATTGTTGACTCAGCGACCTCTAGGCTATAACTGTGTCTATATAACTGAATTAAAGTAATCCAGTATTGAAGGTCAAGAAGCTACTAAGAGATGGATACATAATGAAGGACAAAAACACAAGACTGCCATGAATACATAAACATCTCATTCAGGCTAACCTCAAATTGAATTTAAAATTCTTAGTATCTATGAAAATGATATTTGTATGGGGGAAAAGTAAGTCCAATTATGACTGATCGATCAAGGAAGAGATTTATTACTGGATTTCAGATGTTTTTTCACTTTATTTCATATTATTTGGAAGTAGATTTTATATGACCAAGAGGCTACAGTCATCTCTTTGGCCTATTTATTCTTGTATATACTTCATAAATATTTGTTGATCTAAGAAAAGAAAAATAAGTTACAAAACAAAAAATAAAGTTGTCTTATTTTTAATTGTATGTTCCATATGACAACCAGAAAAAGATAATTCAAGAACCTTTAGCTGCCCTTCATGAGCTCCAAAATCATATCCCAGGCGAAAAATCAGAAGCTGGAAAGAGCTGCACAAAATATAAACGGGAGTCAAAACAGAAATGCTGATTTGGGCTGATTTGGAAGCCAATGCGTCACGGTGAGTTAGGGTGCAGTGGTGGTGAATGCCACAGCATTCACCCGAAGGTAAACCGTCTAGAGAAGGCTGCCTCTTTAGCACCTGCTTACCTATTTCTCACCGCCATGGGGCTGATTTGACTCAAAGAGACCCTCTTGGACAGAGGAGAACTTCCCCGTGGTCTTTCCAGCAGTGTCAATCTTTACAGAAAAAAACTGCCACATCTTTTTGCCCCATAGAGCAGTGGATGGGTTCCAAGTGCCCACCATAGTTAATAACCCAGCACTTACCCACGGTGTCACCCTATTCTAGGGATACCCAAACCCCTGAACCCCACTGCTACTGAGTTGATTTCAACTCGCTGCAACTTTGTCGTTTCTGAGGCATTGTACATCTCCACAGGAGCAGACTCCAGCACGTCTTTCTTCCACAAAGTGCCTGGTGGGTTTGGACCTCTGACTTTGTGGTTAATGGTTCAATGCTTACCTGACATCACCAGGACTCCTTTACTGATAATTCTTTTGATATGTGAAAAGCTTTTCAAAGTTATTTTATTTTTATGCTGGTAGATATAAAGGAGCTGTGGTGGTGCCGTGGTTACGCATTGGGCTTCAATCCACATGGTTGGCGATTTGAAATCCCCAGGAAAGCAGCTCCATGGGAGAAAGACTGGGCTGTCTACTCCCGTAAATCATTACAGGCTCAGAAACCCACAGGCTATCACTGTGAGTTAGCGGATGGCAACACGTTTGGATTTTGTTGTTGTTTTGTTTAGTTTGGGTGGCTATAGAGGCAACATTGGTAAGAATTACTGCTGAGAGATGAAAAAGCTTGCTACGGAAACAGTGCAACCATGAAGACCCATTTTTGCTGCCTCCAGGAATAAGTACTAGAGTCAACCACACGTAGAAGCATGGATGGGGGAAGCCAATCCAAAGCCCTCCAGAAAGTTATGGAAGGAGTATTGCTTGCATGTTTTCAGAACCACAGTGGCCCAGCTTGGTCATGGAAGAGGAAAGCAAACATGGATGTCCTTGATCACCTACTTGGTATCTAGGGTAAGACGGAAAGTGACAGTTACTTTCCCACATACCCCTGAGGAGTCATCATGATCTCTGGCTAGAAAACACGGTAGGATAGAAAGTCAAGATGTTCACGGAGAGAAGAGCAGGAATAAGCCTTAGGAATCGAGTGACAACTTGGTCCAATAGTCACCAAAACCCAAACCCAGTGCTGTCAAGCTGGATCCCTTTTATAAGAGCCCTATAGCAGAGAATTGATCCATACAGTTTTGAGATTGTAAATATTTATAAGAGCAAACAGCTTCATCTTTCTCCTGAGAAGTTGCTGGTAGGTTTGAATCACCAACCTTGCAGATAGCAGTCAAATGCCTAACCCACTATGCCATGAAGGCAGAAGAGGGTAAATCTAGGAAGAGGGCTTTTAGAAGAGAGGTGTCCAAAACAAACAACGGAAGCATTCCAGTGTATACCCTGGATTGAATAGAACAAACTTAGGGAATGCTGAACAGTTCTAGATGTTACATTTTAAAAATTAATTCATTTTATTGGGGGCTTGAACAACTTTTATCACAATCCACACATCCATCCATTGTGTCAAGCACTTTTGCACATTTGTTGCCCTCATCATTCTCAAAACATTTGCTTTCTACTTGAGCCCCTAGTATCAGCTCCTCATTTGATCCCTTCGCTCCCCGCTCCCCCTTCCCCCAAGAACCCTTGATAATGTATAACTTATTATTATATTGTCATATCTTACACTGTCCAACATCTCCCCTTACCCACTTTCCTGTTGTTCATCCCCCAGGGAGGAGGTTATATGTAGATCCTTGTAATAGGTTTCCCCTTTCCACCCCACCTTCCCTCCACCCTCTTCATAACACCACTCTCAGCACTGGTCCTGAGGGGTTCATCTGTCCTGGATTCCCTGTGTTTCCAGTTCCTATCTGTGCCAGTGTACATCCTCCGGTCATTTTAAAGAGCAATCTCCCTCAAACAGAAGAAGCTAAGAAGTAACAGAAAGGAACATGAACTCCCAGGAGAGCCACGTGAGCAAGAACAGGGAGTCTTTCCATTGCAGGACACAGAACGGCTGGTAGGGAAACAACCTCTTCACAGAGCTGCTATCCGAAAAGGGATTTATTTCTCTGGGGCTCCAGTGTCATTTTAAAGACTGATGAGGGGCTGTTTATAAGGAGGAAGCTCTCCATTCAATGTAGAACTCTGGGCAATGTAAGCAGTATAGCAATGCTTAAATATCCAAGGGTTACTCACCTCTTGCAGGGCATGGAAAAGCAATGCGTTGATTGGCCACTCTTTCTTGAAATGGAGTATTGTATGGAGGTTCAAGATCTTCCAGTGTAGGTGGTTCTATTAAAAAGTAAATACATGACAAGCATATATTCATTGGGACATTTTAAAGTCTCTTCTTTCCTGTTGCCTGGCTTTTGTGAACCAGAGCTCTAAATGACTCCAAGATCCATTATTTCATGATCCTTCCTATCCTGTTTTCCTTCATTCCCTGGGCTAAGACATCAGGCTCCACCCGGTCATTCCATGGTTTCTTTGTTACTCCTGACCTCGATATTCTAGTGGTTACCATGTACCATTGTTCACCTATGTATCTTCCTTTCTTCTTAAGGTCACTTATTAAAAGCCTTACTTTTTCTTTCTTAGCCTGGATGAATCTCCCCATTCTCACCCTTCATTTAGCATACTTCTCTACATCCTTCACATCTCCAATGCAACTGTCCCAGAAGAGCCTCTGATTTGGTTTTCTGTTAGAGGCTCATACAGTTCTACCATTTCATGATGACACTAACTCATTTGTAAATATGCACTTAGAAGCTCATTTTATTGTCTATTTTTCCTACTAGATTATAAGCATAAACACTCACAAAAAACCTACTGAGTGAATAGACTAGCTGGACCAGCTCTCCAACAGTGTTCTAGTCATCCATCCAACAAGTATTAATTACACTGTACCTGGTGCTACTATTACATATTATGTTAAGTATGACACCTGTTTATTTTGTGCTTGCCTGGGGGCCTAGTCCCTCTGCCAGAAATGTTCTTTTCCTGATTTGCACACGGCTTGCTCCTTAAAGTTGTGAGGCTATTACTATGACTATCACCTCCACAGAGAAGTCCTCCTCAGTAATCCAATCTACGGGAGCCACTTCCTTGTGTCATCACACGCGTTCCACGTTGCACACAGAATTCCTCGCTCTCTGCGTTTTCTGGCTTCTTTCATTTGTTGCTTTGTTTATTGTTAGTCTACTCGTGTTAGAGCAGCTCATGAGAAGGAGGGTTTTGCATTTTTCACTCTTTTCTCTCCAGTGCCTAGAACCTGACAGGAGCTCATGAAACATCTGCTGCTTGAAGGAATATATACTGGTGTGTCTTCATCGAAACAAAGCCAGCATCCACCGGGGCAAGGAAGATCTAAAATCCCTGGGGGTTCGTTTCACCAGTCAAAGTGACGTCCTGCTCCGACTCTCCCTGCCACCGCTTTTCCCAACCCAAGCTTGTCCGGGCATTTGTCTGGGATGATTTCCCTGATCTACACCAATCACAGCAACTTCAGTTTCCAAAAAAGAAACATTAAAATCGATGCAGGTTATGCATGAGTTAGTTTCAGTACTTTCTCAGATGGCTCCTCTTTCAGACAACTAAAGAATCCCCAGTGTTAGTTAAAACTTTTCCCAAGGTGATAGAAGACAATCACAAACTCCAGGAGTACTCGCCCACCCCTTCCTCTCCACCCCTCACCCCATACCCTGCCACCCACTCGAACATGTTTTCCTCTGCCAATAATCACCTTGGACATGTAGGGTTATCTCAGCTTCATCATTTCCTGCTATGTTAGTAGCAGTGCATGTATATGCACCAGCATCTGAGAGAGTGGCTTGGTCAATGCTCAGTGTTCCATCTGGATCACTAATATGCCGCATTCCATCAGCCATCACAGCACTCCCGCCTTTGAACCAGGTGATTACAGGATGAGGCATCCCTTGAGCATCGCATGGAATATCCACTCTTTGACCAACTTGGACTTTCATGACTTTAGGGCCACGTCGAATCTTTGGAGGAACTGGAAATAACAGAACATTAATAACCCACATTTTAAAAATTACTTTTTCTCATTTTAAATGAATGGTAAATGGAGAAAGTGGAATGTAGAAGTCTCAATATGTAAGACAGTGCTTGGGCATCTTACTTAATGTGTGATCTAGAGCAAGTCACGACAGTTCCTGTGGCCTATTGCCTCCATAATTGGCATATAACAATCTCTTATAAACCAAATCGAGGGAAAGATAGAGGGGAATGATACAAACAAAACCACTAATGTTCCCATGTAGCACAATAAGTTTTGAAGAATGTGAGGCACCCTTCCATTCAGAGAGAATTTTAAGGCTTTAAAACACTCCTAAAGGGTAGTCTGGAGACATTTTGTACTTTAAGACAGAAAGCCAAAAAACATTTCTTTCCATGTTCTGTACTCTTAGTTCTTTTAGAAGGTTTTATAAGATAAGGAACAATGGGTCTCAAAGAGACGTTAGCTAATTTCATAGAAGAGAATCAAGATGGAGCTTCTATTATTGCCCTTTACCTACTTTCCCTTAGACATTTAAATAGATATTTTATCAAAATATGTTTATTTTCCTGTGTGTGAATTATTATGTGTGGAATCAAGCTGAATCATAAGGACATCTATATGTCCCACATCTCTAAAAAGCCCCCATTTCTCTCTCCTTAAAAAACAACAACATAGTATTCAATAAACATTTTCTAGAGCCTGCCATTTATAACATTCTAATCAATTTTGCACTATTATGATCACCATTTTAAGAATAAGAAAGCTAGAGAGAGAGGTTTTCGATATATCTAATACTTTAAGCCCAAAAGCCAAACTCACTGCCATCAAGTTGATTCTACTCATAGTGACCCTATTGGCTGGGTGGAACTGCTCCCTAGTGTAGCATTTTTTTATGGAAGCAGAAAGTGTAGCAGATCTTGACGGAAGCAGAAAGTGTAGCATATCTTTATGGAAGCAGAAAGCGTAGCAGATCTTGAGGGAAGCAAAAAGTGTAGCATACTTTTACGAAAGCAGAAAGTGTAGCATTTCTTTATGGAAGCAGAAAGTGCAGCAGATCTTGACGGAAGCAGAAAGTGTAGCATATTTTTATGAAAGCAGAAAGTGTAGCATTTCTTTATGGAAGCAGAAAGCCTCATCTTTCTCCCACAGAGGAGCTGGTGGTTTCAAACGGCTGACCTTGTAGTTAGCATCCCACTGCACATTCTACTATGATACGGGGTCTAAAGCCCTAGAGCTAGCCAGTGACAGAGGCAGATTCCTATCACCTTGAGATTTCAAAGTCTGGGGCCAAGAAGAAACAAATATAATGAATATCTGGAAAGGAAATCAGGTTAATACTATCAGAGAAAATTTTCTTCTGATGCGTGAATATCCAGTATGCACACAGTAGCTGGCATGGAGTATACACTCAATATGTATATGCTAAATGGATAGATGATTAAATATATGATAATAAGTTCAAGGAGATAAATTACACAGAATATTAAAATAGTCCAAAAAAATCCTCAGAAGCATATTTTTTCATTTGATAAGTTCTTAAACTAATAAAAGGATAATTTAAACACAATTAAACTCTTCTTTGAAAATTCATATTCACTTTTACAAGAAGCTCACAGGCCGTGTATCAACAATAGAATTTTAAGTGGCTTATTAATTAAAAGTTAAGGTCCAAAAATTTTGCACTGTTCATTTGAACAAAAAGGAGGGTTGCTTATAGATAGGAGGCATTTTTTTTTTGGAATAATATGTAGGAAGGTCTTATAGACTCAAGTTTTAGAAAATGTTTATATAATTATTCTAAAACTAATTGGAGCTAAAGCCTAAAGGCACTGGCATGATGGTTTTTCCTCGTGGCTAGTTCACAGAGTTATCATATGACGTCATTTCAAGACTCACCATGAACGTTTAACTTAACAGACTGAGTCACATTCCCGGCAATGTTTGTGGCAACACAAAGATACATCCCACTGTCGGAAACTCGCGTCTCAGTGATCTTCATTGATCCCGATGGCAGGAACGTGTGTCTAAAAAAAAAGAAATCACATAGCAGACCATAGGTAGACATAAGAATTTAACTATCTCCCTTGCAGCTGTGCTCGCCTGTGAAAATACTACTCTTCAGGCATTTCTGAGAAGCATTCTGCCATCGCTAATGACACCTCTGGACATCTCCTTCAACACTCACTGCTATGGAGTCGACCTCGACTCCCAGTGACCCTGTCGGACAGGCTAGAAGTGCTGCCGGGAGTCTCTGGGTCTAGGATTGTTAAGGGGGTGGAAAGACCCATCTTTCTCCGGGGAGCAGCTGGTGGTTTCTAACACCTGGCCTTGCGGACTGCAGCCCAAGGCGTAACCACTAGCCACCAGGGCTCCCTCATACGTCTTAAAGATCAGGAAGTTTCCTAATGATCTTGTGCATCTGGTATGATGTTTTGACAAATACAAAACCAGTTTTTTTCTATCAACCTTTAAATATATTCTAATGGCATGAAATTGCCAAATAATTCTACATTCCTCTGCTTTACAAAGTTGCATCTGTACAAAGCAAATGTATATCTTAGTAAATTTTAATTTATTTTGACATTTTATTATGTTTCTCCAATGTTTCATTAAAAATCTTTGTATTAAAATAAAGGTCAAAGAAGGTATTCCTGAAATGTATTAAATATATTCCCCCCATCATATGAGAATACATGTAGTTGGGTGAGATAATGTAGTTGGGTGAACCAGACTTGTTTATACATATGAAATATGTTATTACAATAATTGTGTTAAAACAGCTTTAAAGAGGAACAGGCTAGATGGACCTACCCACTAAAAAGATTTTACATAAAACTAAATGAAATAAAGTGTGCCATTGGCTCTAACCCAGAAACCCAAAGCCATAGCTCTAAAGTCTATTACAACTTATGCTGACCCTAAATAGAGTGTCTGTAAAACTTTATGGAGAAGACAGCTCATCTTTCTCTCGAGTAGTAGCTGGTAGGTTTGGGTTATCGACCTTGAAATTAGCAACTGAACACCTACCACACCGCACCACTAAGGCTACATGATATTGGCCCAGTGATAGACAAATAAATTAAGGACTAAAAAAAGAAAAAAGAAAATTAAAAAACTAAGCCATCTGTTGTCTAATGGACTTTGAGTCATGGCATCCATTTGTGTCAAAATATATTGGTGCTCCATCAATTGCTAGGGCTTCCTGAGACAGCCAGGCCTTTCTTCTGCAGAACCGCTGAGTCGGTCTATACCACAGATCTTTAAATTAGTAAAAGTGGTGTTGAGCAACTGGATATCCACACGTGGAAGAATCAAATTAGGTCAATATCTAATACTATGCATAGAATAATAATTCAGGCCGGTTAAAACACAAAATATGAAAATTAAAATCTAAAACCATTGAATGGAAGCAACAGTTATGTTTATAAAGCCTCATGATGAAGACACAAAAACAAACAGATTCATGGGTTAAAGTACATGATAATTTCACATTTTTATACAAGCAAACATATCATAAATAAATTTTAAAGATTTGTAATAGAGAAAGTATTTTAACACATTCAATGGACACAGTATTCAAAGCATATTAAGAACAAAGAGAAAAAGTCTACCATTCAATCAGGAATGACCTTTTCACTAGATAGCTCTTAAGCTTATGTAGAGAGGCAAATTTACAGGGAACACAGATGGCCAACAAGTAGGTGAAAGAATGCCCGGTCCTGCTTGAAAACCACCCCTCCAAAAGCTGACTGCCATTAGGATTGATGCTGAGTTATAAGGACCCGCTAGGGTTTCGGAGCCTGCGCATTTTAATGGGAGCAGACAGACGTATCTTTCACAGACTATCTTTCACAATGGGAGCAGACAGACTTATCCTTCACACGGAGTGATTGCACCTTGACTAAGGAAAAATCAAGGCATTTGAATTACGGTGGTAGGGAAGACTGTTGAAAGTACCACGGATGGCCAAAAGAACCAGCAATAGTGTCTTGGAAGACATGCAGCCAGAAGGAGCCTCAGAAGGAAGGCCAGCATGACTTTGGCTCATATACTTTGAGACAGGTCATCATCAGAGACCAGTCCTGGGAAAGGACGTCATGCTTGGTCCTTTTTTTCTCTGTGAAAAAATAGAAGACCCTAGGCTGGGTGGTTTGACCTAGTGGTGCAACCATGGGATCAAACATGAAAACAACTGTGAGGAAACATGCTTAATTCTGTTGGAGGCTTACTGTGAGCTGGAACCCATTGGATGGCACCTAGTAAGTGGGTTACACACTAAGCTGCTAATGGCAAGGTTAGCAGTTCAAACAAACCAGCAGCCCCATGGGAGACAGATGAGGGTTTTTGGTTCCAGGAACAGTTACAACCTGAGACGTCCACAGTGGCAGTGCTATCTTGTCCGCTAGGGCCACTTGATATTGACTCACATGGCAGTGACTTTCGTTCGGAGGGTAGTAGCACTTAAATTCTGAGCACATGGTTTGTGGAAGGCTAGTTTCCAGTGAGAGCTCTAAATCCATTTTGAGTCTTGACATAAAGTGAGCCTTCAGTGAATTCTTTCTGACCAATGGCTTGTCATCTAAAAAGCTTTGCCCTCAGAAATAGGGTACTGGAAAGTGGATTACAGCCCAGGGAATGTCAGTCTCACCCAGAAGGATTTTTCTGGGCATGCACTCAGTGGTAATGGAGGTATCAGAGCTGCATGGTTACCAGTTATACCCCAACTACGGTGATCAGAATCCCAGAGCAATCCTATAGTAGTGCATGTAACCCAACCAGGGCCCCTTTCCTAGTTTCGTAGACCTGCCTGTGACTGCAGAATGACTTGATCTCCCACAAATTATGATCTTGTGATCATTCCTTTGGTTTTCCATAGTCTTTATAACTAGTCGCATGGCTGTGAATGCCTTGGCTATCTCCATGGCCTTATGCACATGGTCTCCCTTATCCTGATGACGTGTGTGTCTTTTCTTGTCCCGTTTAAGACAGAATCCACACTGACAGTGAGCTTGATTTGGTTCATTTCAAATGCAAAATGCATTTGAATTTAGGGTACTTCTCCCCCATATAATACTCAAAACAAACAAACAAAAACCCTCACTGCCATCATGTTAGTGCTGATAGAACAGAACACAACTTCTGTGCGTTTCTGAGGCCATGACTCTTCACAGGACTAGAAGGCTCTGTCTTTTCCCCAAAGCGTGGTTGGTGGTTTCAAACTGATGACGAGCTTAGCAAGCAGCCCAGGGGTAACCACTTTGCACGCCCTCAGGCCACCTCCATAGAGCACCAGTAAAGCTGAAAATAGACATTCGCTCTACCCAGACTGTCATTCCAGATACAGGGCCTGAGAAATCCATGCATTTATATGTAAAAAAGCATATATAAAGATATTCAATGAAATGAGAAACAAAAAGGAAAGAAAGGAGAAAAAGAAGGGCAGCACCAGAGGAAAGCAGAAACAGGTCAGGACAATAGTGATTCTCCCAAGTGGGGGAATCTTCCACCCCTCACAGCCCTTGAGCCAGTGCTCCCCGCTCAGGGACCCCGTTGGGGTTTCTGAGATTGTAATGGTTTGTGGGAGTAGAAAGCCCAGTCTTTCTCCCAAGTAAGGGAATACATATATAAAATGCAGACTATAAATGCAAAGTCGTTAAAATAAATAAGCTAAATCTACATGTATAAAAATATAAATTTTGGCATCATAAAGCCAATAGTTGAAAGATAATATTTGTTACGACATGCAAATGTAAAACAGATTCGCAAAGCAAACATTAAAAATACAGAAAACAATACTCAATCTATTTAAGTATGTTCGTACACACAACACACCCACTTTGTGATAGCGTTTGCTCCTGAGATCAGGAGAAAGATGAGGTAGTCTACTCCCATAAAGATTGGCAGTCTCAGAAATCTGAAGGACCAATTCTACTGCCCCTTAGGTTCTCTGTGAGTCTGAATCAACTAGTTGGCACTGGGTTTTGCTCCTGGGAAAAAAGGAAAGAGCTAGTGTGTGGAGAAAGGAAACAAAGGAACATTGAGTTTGTGCTAATGTATTTATTTTATTCAAAGGTATTCAAAGCCATGAGTTTTGAAAAAAAAAATTATGAAGTCGTAAAGTCATTCCTCTTTTCCCCTTTACCAGTGGAGAAAATGGGGTAGCATGAATTTATAGCTTTGTAAATAGGCATATGCTTCAGTAACTCTAATAGGCAGGCAATCGCTAGTGGCTATAATTCTTATTCCGTCGTGACGTTGGCATGATGCAGAATTGAAACAGTCATTACTAGCACTCATGGAGAACTGGAGGTTGATGATGTCAAATATAAGGTGTGAAATTCTTTCAGGTATGCATTATCCCTGTTTTATAGACAGGAAATTTGAAGTTGAGAGAGAACTCCCTGAAATAATTGCCAAAAGTTTCAGACAAGCTTTCCGTAATGGAGATAAGTTTAAACTCATAACTCCCTGACATCAAAGGTTGTGCTCTCAAAGACTGCATTTTACTTTCCTTGTCACTTGACCCATCAAACTAATTGTCTCAATGGCTCTTGATTTGTAGCAGGAGTTCATAAGGCAGACATTTATAAAACCATCTAATAAAAGTCAAATCCTAGACACAGAGTGCACATTATGCTTTATTGCTCTCACAGGATGACTGGAATTTTATGTGTGCTACATACATTGTACTAACAAATATTTACTTACAAACAGGCTTCATTTTAATCAATACTTAAAATATGCCACAAAGCCCCTGAAGAGCCCCTCAAACAGACTTCAGGCTAGGATGGCAGCTTCCTGAATTCCCCCAGGACCGGTGGGGAGATAGTCATAAAGGTCAGTGGAGAGACCTGGAGTTATGTATGCTTTTTTTCCTCTTTCTTTTTTGCTTTTTTCAATCTTTTGTTATCTTTTTGTTTGGTCTCTACTATTGTTGGTTTGCCTGCTTATATAAGGTATGCATGAGAAGCAATGGGACCTATGGCCCCAGAGGGACTTGTGGGGAGAAGGAGGTGGGATATGGGAGTGGTGAGAAAACAACTCCATAGACAGCAGCACAATTAGGGAATTAAAATCAACATCAAGGAGGGCTTAGAAATCCTAGGGGTGTTGGAGCAACAACAATCTAGCTGAGAGGAATTAATAAGAGGCAGAATTAGGGAGAGCATATTGGTGGGGCAGGAGGAAGGTAAAAGGAAACAGAGGAAAGATCTAGCAAGCAAAGCTATGGAAGAGTTATAAGGATAAGTGTGTACATAGGTAAATACATTAATTCATAAAAATAGAGGTATTGGCCTAGGTACATATAGTTATATGGCAATACACTGAGCTAATGCGTGAACCTCAGGCCTCTGCGCAAGCCCTCACTCAGTGCAAGAACACTTTGTTCTAACAAACTGGCCTTCTGTGATGGTCACCTTCTTGGCCCAATCGCTGACGACAAAATGGGCACATAAGCAAATGTGAAAAGCAGATGGTACCCGGCTATCAAAAGATATAGTGTTAGAGTCCTAAAGGCTTGGAGTTAAACAAGCAGCCATCTAGTAGAGAAGCAACAAGCCCACGTGGAAGAAGCACACTAACCTGTGCAATCATGAGGTGTTGCCCGGACCAGGTAGCAGGCATTAAAAGACCACACACAAACAAACAAAACATATTGGTGAGAACGAGGGGTCACAGAAGGGTCACAAGGAAGGGGTGAGTAAACCAAGGCACAGTATACATCAATGAAACACAATATTCCTCTGGTTCTTTGAGGCTGCCCAACCCCCCCACTCTCATGACCCCAGTCCGGCTTTTCACTGCAAGCTAGACGGAAGCCTGTGCACAGGTACAGATAAGAGATAAGAGCTCACAACATACAGAAGCTGGGAACAGTAATGGGAGTAGCAATACCAGAGGGGTAGGTGAAGGTGGGGGGAAGAGGGGAGGACGTGGGAACCGATCACAATGATCAACATATAATCACACACACACACACACACACACACACACACACACACACACACACCCAGGTGGATGAACAACAGAAACCATGAGGGAAGGAGATAGCAGTCAGTGTAAGATATGAAAATAATAATAATTTATAATTTATCAAGGGGCCCTGAGGGTGAGGGTGAGGGTAAAAAGAGGGGCTCAATGGAAAGAAAATGTTTTGAAAAGGACGATGGCAAAATATGTACAAATATGCTTGATAAAACGGATGTATGGATTGTTATAAGAATTGTAAGAGCCCCCCAATAAGAGGAACTTTTAATAATAATTTTTTAAAATGTGCACCAGTGAGAAATGCCGAAGCTGGGTGTTAGTATTTAGAATAGAATAGAATGAATTAGATAATAATTACATATACGCACACATTTTCCGTAGGTTCAGATGTACTTTGATTGTTTTTTCATATTTAAATGTCCATTTTGAGATATCTGTAATCCCCATCCCAGCCCTGTCATTTGTCCCTACGGGCTGTTGTTTCAGCATCATGCAATTCATTTCAACCTCTTACCTCGGAGAGAACGGAGAGATGAGCTGGCTCTCTCTTGCCCAGGTGATTATGGGTGGAGGTGAGCTCTTCACTTCACAGGGAAGGGTCACCTCTTCTCCGGCAAGCACAGAGATCTCCACAGGCTTTTCCTGTGAAGGTCCCCGCTGGTCTCCAAACACCCTGGGCCTAACTAAAATCAAACATTTATGGAGGATTGGATAGAGTGCATAAAAAGGAAAACACAGCATTTACTTATAAACAAAGATACTGTATATTTCAAAGTTTCAGGGCATATCCAACGGTCTCATTAATATGTTTATGGTGACAGGTAACAGGAAAAAAACCAAAAACAAATGACAAATGAAAAAAAATTTCTTTCAGCTCTTCCCTCGAAATACAATGGAGGGCTCAGCTGCAAATGCCTTTTAAAGTCTGCCCTCTGCAAAGCAACCCCTCAAGGCACAGCACTAACTGAAACATAGCTGAGGTTTGGCTTCACTCGGGGGTTTTAACTAACTGGTGTTACTAAAGCTGGTTGGGTGCAAGAAGCATTCTCCTTGGGAAAAGCACCATACAATTTCTCCGAAAGGCTATACAATTACCTTGCCTTAAAGTCAGAGCCCAAGTAGAGGAGATTTGGGTTGGCAGCAAGAGTGCATTCTTGTAAAAAATATAAAAAATATGAGCCTAGGGGAGCGGTTCACTTTAGGGGTACAGTCCTCTGGTCACATGACTTCGAGAGGACTGTGAGTTCTGGCAATGATGGGACAGTGCCAATGGAAAACATTGCTCCAGGAGCCCTCACCATAGACAGTCAGCTGCACTTTCCTCTTGGCATAGCCTGCCGCGTTGGTGGCCGTGCACACATACTCCCCACTCTCCTCGCCTTCAGGTGACACCACATACAGACTGCCATCAGCACCAGCAGAAAACTTTGCACTGCTGGCGGGAATCAGCTCTCCTTTCTGCAAAGCATAAGGGTAAAGTGTGTTTTAACATAATCAAGGAGTAGTGACTTCATGTCTGGAAGAGACAGCGAAAAAGGAGGAAAAAGAAAATACTAGATGTTTTCAAATGTCGATTTGAAGAAAGGTATAAATGAGGAAAAATTAGGTCCGTAGGGTGATGTTTCTCCTTTCCAAACGGTCTCCTTCATTCCAGAGCCACTAGACTGAGAGAACTGTAATAACAAAGGATGGCAGCATGAGTATGCGTGCTAGGGCTCATGCTGTTCTGAGCGCTTACCATGAGTGAACTCTTAATGTGCATAAAGACCTGCACACATGGGGGTACTCAGCCCTGAGAGGGAGTAAAGCAACTTGTCTGAGGGCAGAGCTTGTCAGGGCTACAACTGGCCTGGAAACACGCTCAGTCAGGCTCCGGAACCCAAATCAACCTTCGTGCTGGACTGCAGCACAAAGTCCACCTGAGAAAGGACATTCCTTTCTGTAAGTTACTAAAATGCATTCAACTTATGCTAAGAGCTAGAAACAGCATAGTCTGGGTATCGACACCACCAAAATTTTGTGTCCAGTAAACAGTATAAAATAAAAGGTTAACCTTACTATTTAATTTACAGATATTGACATCTGTTTCTTCACAATGAGAGAGTTTTATATCTGTTGCCGTTGCGTAGATGCTAAGCCACTGTGATCCTATAGGCTGAGTACAACTACTCCATAGGATTCTACGACTGCCGTTCTTGACAAAGGCAGAATGACACATCTTTCTCCTGATGAGCTGCCGATGGCTAAACCGCTGACCACTGGCTGCAAACCGCTGACCACGCAGTTAGAACCTAAGTGTTCAACCACTGTCCCATCAAAAAACCTTCAGAGATTTTTATGTAGATAAAACTAGCTAGGATGCTAAAATATTTTTAATGTAACACTAATTAATACTATGCCACATTTCATTATTAGGGAATCATTTTTTTTTTTTTTGGGAATCATTTTATATTATGTTCTATCTTGCTGATTTAAATGAATGTTCAGAAAGTGTGCCATCTTTATGGCTAATGAAAGATGGGAAAGACTTCCTCAGGGAACGGGTGCCCCCTCGCTGCGAGACTCCACGTGAGAGAGGTCCAACTGCGTTGGAGGGACACAGAGCATGTAAGGATGGAACTGGCTCCCTGAAAAAGACATGGAAGTTCTAACCACTCATAACGATGAAGTGTCATTGTTGTTCCTGGGTGTCATCAAGTGAATTTCAACTCGCAGCGACCCAGTTCCACAAAACGAAACACTGCATCCCCGCACACCCCCAGCTGTGCCTGAACCCATTATTGCCGTCACAGTGTCAAAGCCATCTCATTGAGGGGCTTCCTTTTTTTTTTCTGTCACCCTCCACTGTATCGAGTATGATGTCCCTTTTCAAAGACTGGTCCTTTCTGATAACATTTCTAAAGTATCGAAGATAAAATCTTACTGTTCTCACTTCTAGGAAGTATTCTAGCTGTAGTTGCTATAGGACAGATTTGTTTGTTCTTCTGGTCGTCCATGGAATATTCTGTCTTCATAAACACCACAATCCACAGGTGCCGGGTTTTGTTTGGTCTTTCCCCCTTAATTCACCGTGCCACTGTTGCATACGTACTAGTAAATTGAAAATATGGCAAAGGGCAGGTACACCTTAGCCATCAAAGTACATCTTTGCTTTTGAACACTAACGTGGTTTAAGCAGTGGATTTGCCCAAGGCAGCATACTTGGTAAGGTCTTCTCTGCTATTTCTATGCACAACAGTAAAATGAAACTTTATGAAAGGAAAATGGCATCGTTGACACTTCAATGATCTCTCCCTTTACTCTGGCCTTGCGTATTCCTTCAGTCAGGAGCACTTGGTTTTCTTCTTGGTGAGGGGTGACCAGACTGAAGACTGCATCTACGATCTTCACCAGTACGTGCTTCCACCCTTCATTTTCTGCAGATGTGGTTGGATCATCTGTTGATGAGTCTTCTTCCAATCCTGATGCTACATTCTGTCTCAGAAAATCCGGCTTCTTGGACAACGTGCTCAGCATCTGGATTAAATAAGTGTGTTAAAAGGATAAACCTTCCCACACCTGTCCTGATTTTAAGCCACGCAGCACTCCCTTGTTCTGTTTGAACAATTTCCATTTGTTTTGTGAACATGGTTTGCATGAACATCATTAAATGTTGTAGAATCCCCATGTCGCACAACATTACCCATAAATCATTATGATCCAAATTGTTATGATGCAATGCCTTTACATAGTCAATAAAACACAGGTAAACATCTTCCTGTTATGATCTTCTTTCAGCCAAGGTCCAACTAACCTTAGCCAGGATATCGCTCCTTCTGCATCCTCTTCTGCATACTTTTGGGCTATGAGTCATAATCCACTGGAAGTTAATATGTTTGGGTGGTAATGAATTGGCTTACCTAAAATATGGTGGTCCTTTATCCTTGGTTCTTGATGGATAATCCCTGACATTTCCTGGGTAATCAAGATGGCTTTGTTATCTAAAATCAACAGACTACATTTGAAAATTCCCGCAAATGAGGGAGGGGTTGGTCAGGTTATAAAGACTTCCTCCTTAGCTAACCCCAGGAAGGGTATGAGGCATGGCTTCATAAATAATTCATATTTAAAGAAGCCTTGATCATGACTGTGAACTGGGACCCAATCATGACTATGCAGCAAAGCCAATAAAATACTCTGGACGTGGGAGTTTCTTGAGTTTCCTGCTTGGTAAAGAATCTTTGCACAGAAGAGGGGGCACATTGCTGAGGTTATGGCAGCTCTATCCTGGGATCCCTACCAAGCTTCACCCTATATGCCGCTCGATTTTTATCCAGTGATAAATTGGCAGATATTCTCCATGAATACTGTGATTCTCCACGAATACTGTGATTCATTCTGGTGAATCCTTGATCCTACAGGGAACAAAAGGTTATTTGGAAGTGATTTCTGTTGGCTTGAGTAGGAGAGGGAGAAAGTGAGGCAGAGCGAAGGAAGGGGAGTTAGTAAAGGCCTTCAGCTCTTTGGTTTCTTCTGTGGAATAATCGGACGCCGTGTGTGGTATTAACAGTTAATGCACTTGGCTGCCAACAGAATGGTAGGAGGTTTGAGTCTGCACAGAAGCCCCTCTGAAGAAAGGCATAGGGATCAACTACCAAACAGCAGTGGTTGATAATCCTTGGAAGCACTGTTCCAGGGTGATTCATGTGCAATTCCCGTATGTTGAATTTGATCTCGGGAATTGGTGTGGGATTCCAGTTCATGTATGACTGAAGATATTCAAACATTTTTGATTAGCACATAACATACGCACACATAATGTTGCCATCAAGTCAATACAGTTGCCATCAAGTCTCAGTCTTATGACACATCCTCTGTGTGTCAGGGTACAATTGTATCCTTAAGATTTTTGAGTGGCTGGTTTTAGGAATATATATTCCCAGGTCTTTATTACAAAGTTCTCCTTGGTAGATTCAAAGCTCCATGCTTTTGGTTAGAAACTGAGCAAACTAATGATTTGGACCACCCAGGGATTTAAAAAAAACATCACTAGATGTGCTATTTACCTTTGACCAGATGATGGAAGGTTTGGGAATTCCACTTGCTTTACAAGGTAAATTTACTGGAATACCTTCGATGGTGCTGAGTATCTGCTGCCCATGCTGAATGGTTGGCAGAACTGCAAAAGCAGGCAGAAATGTCAATCTGAGTACCTCTTCTTCTGTTTAGCCCCATATGCTTAAAGATGAACATTTTCAGTACTTAAAACAAAGACGAAATTTTTTGATAGAAATCTAAAGTAATTGGCTAGTAAATGTGCTAAGCAAAGAAGAAAAACAATAGTTAGGATCTGGAGCTTTTTAAAGATATAAACAAATAGCAAATGGGGTACAAAAAGTTGACCTTCCTAATCAAAATAATAGATGGCAAAGGAAATTAATTTTTCTTGGAAAAGTAAGAGAAAATTGTACCCTGAGAGTTACACAATTCACATACATCTTTGAATGGCATTTCTGATTGAGTTACAATGAGTGGACTTAAATCCACCTATAGAGAAATGGGCTGTTTAACCATCACATGTTAAGTATTTGTCAATACAATACACAAATTACTAACTAAACTACTACACTAACATTTTAAAGAGGACCTATTTTTTTAAAGGGAACTTAATAAAGCTTGAAAGGTCTGGGAAATTTACATTTAAAAAATTACATATAGGATTCTTAATTTTTCTTCAGTAAGAAGAATAGCATCACTTTCATTTTTTAAAAACCAACTGAAGAATTTAGTTATGTAAATATAAATATAGGAAAAGAAAGATTATTGATCATTTCATTCTGGGGGAGGGGGGGAAATGTATCAGTAGTCAATGTGTTTGAAATGATGGTTTTGTTTAATTAAGTTCCCATTCATGAAAATCCTTCACACTGCAAAAAATACAATAAAAGCCCAATAAATACCAGCACATTCTCTTCCTATCCTCAGGAGAGATGAGGCTGATCTTCTTAGAGCTTCCTCACTCATAGTCTTTTGCCTTGAAGCTAGATTGTTGCCATAGCTACCCTGGAGTAGAAGTTTGTCTGACTAAGAGACACCCAAGACTGCAGTGAGGAAGCTCCCTGGGACAGTTGGTTTCCCACACACGCGTATCCCGTGACTGGCTGCGATCTTACATGATTGTTCTTAAGGAGTCAGCAGCACATTTCAAGCCCCAAATACGGCATGCCAGGCGACTCTCTAATGCCAGTCATTTCATGTGTAGGATCACAAAGCAGTCGACTTTAACTCTGTTGTCAATTTAGGGGAGGACTGAATAAGCCATTTCATAAATGCAAAATGAATTTGACAGTTATGAAGAAAAATGACAAACTCAAGCAACAGTTTGACACTAAGAAGACATTTAGGTATGGTAAAACACTTTCTTCCAAGATAGTCAATCTATATGCATCAAAATCTCAATTAAACTCTTTTGTCATTTTATAATCTCTGTTCATTCATTTGTTTTAGAACTAGTTAGAGCCTTTGATGAGCAGTCTTAAAAAGATTAGTGAAAGAATGGCAATGCTAATTAACATAAATGCAGCCTTCTAGAGAAATTAGTGCTTCACCACACCCAACTCAAAGCCAACTACATTGGCTACAGAGCTCTTTGCTTACCAAGCATGGTCTTGTAATGTCCCAAAAGTTCTCTAATAATGAGACACCACATCATGAAAACAAAAATGACACGTTTTCTCTGTTGCACCTTTCTCATCTAGCAGACATCACAAATAATTGTCAATTTTTAACCCATCTGCATATTTAGGTTTGGAATATCTTCTTGACACAATATTCCAGGCATGTGATATAGATCAAATGGAAGATACATGGTGGGGTGGTGGAGGTAAGGGAGAAGCATTCTCAAACCAATCCCTACACATGTGTTTGGAAATCCAGGAACTGGGCCTCTTTCAAATTACTTAGCCGTGTTTGGGCCTCTTTCAAATTACTTAGCCATATCCAGAGCTGACATTAGATACTGACTCTTTTATAACTAATTTGCCGTTGTTTGGTATTTTATCAGAATATTATTTCTTCAAGAATATCCCATGAACTTTGGTGAATACTCAGCACAAGGCTAAAAGTGAAAGGTTTTGTTTAAAAGGAAAAGTAGATATAAAAGAGGCAGATGATCTTCATCCATTACAGTTTCTAACCAACAAAACAAAATTTGGAAACAACTGGATGAAGTGATTCTCCAATTCATGTGCTAAAGAAAGATTGAATTAACTACTAAAAAAGGAATGTTCCATGCTACTTTACTTCTGCAAGATATCCAGTGCTGTACACAAAATCATTTTAAATACCACATAGTTTAAAAAGGAATGTTATAAATTCCTTGAGGGAAATACATAAAAAAATTATGACAATTTCTTAAATTATAAAATTATCACTTATTCTTGAGATGTGTAAAGTTGGTAATAGGTAGTCAGAAATGGGAAAAGAATGCTTCTGGATTTTCTTATTTGTGACCTTTCCTTAAACATGCCAGAAGATTGCTTGGTACACGTGAGGTGACTTTTAGAAGAGTTTAAGTCCCTGCTGGTTGAAACACAAAGGAGCCATTAATAAGGCCAGGCTCCTTTGCACAATCCAAGAGGAAATAGCAATTTGGGGTGGCTCAAAATAATAAGTCCCAACTTGCCAGAAATTAAAATGTATTTTTAAACAGAATTGTCCAAGGGCGGAGTTCATTTTATCAAGTAAGAAACTACTTACAAAAGCCCTGGCTATCCTTAGCTGGTGACTCCTAGGGTTGCCTTTCCATGTTCATTTAAAGAAAAATCTGGAAACAGCATTCACAATATCAACAATATAAACATTGCTCAAGAATAGAGCTCGTAATAAGGATGACAATTAAAATACTTATGTCTTATCCTTACAGCAGTAGAGCTAGTTGGTTTAAATACATTAACCATACTTGACCATGGTTTGGAGACAAAACAACGGGTGAGTGTCTTACCATGCACATCCACAGAGGTGGTTTTGTTACTGGTTCCAGCAACATTGGTGGCCACACAGGTATATTCGCCTCCATCCTGAAGCCGGACTCGTTCAATATGGAGGCTCCCATCACTGCGCACAGTGATATAAGGATTTTGGACCAACTTTAAAAAAAAAGTCATTTTAAGTTTTTTAAATTGTCTAAACCAAATTTGGTCTTTTTTCCCCCCACATGGGTTAAAAATATATATTTTAAAGTAAAAGAATGATGAGTATTAGATGTTACCCAAATCAGTTTTCATTGTGTCAAATCTGTGTGTATGACAAAACATTATGCCTATTAACACGTGACTGGGAATCGCGGGCACACTGGGAAGGGAAAGGAAAGGCAACATGACTTGTTTTGTGTTCCAATGGCACTCACAACCCCAATTCCACTTCTGGTTTAGACAGTTGTTCTGCAAGAAGAACCTCCTGTTCCAAAGAAGCCATTTGGCATCTTGGCACCTAGACAAGCATTGGCCATGAAGGTGAGAGACTTCATCATAACACTCACCTCGTCACATTGCAGATACACGGAGTGGAGAGCAATGTCCCTCATGTAAGACTTACACATACAAACCTTACCGCAGGAGATTTGACATAGCGATTGATCACCTCTCCATCTACGGCATGCGTGTATAATATTAAATTATGAGACTTCAGCAATGAAATATCACCGAACTAACCTTGAAGGGCATTTGTTATTCAGTGTGATTACCAAGTTTTCCATATTTTTATTCAGATATGAAAATTTTACATTTTCCGCTACATAGTTGAACAACCATGAATATAAATAGTTGAAGAAGTGACTATGAGAGTCTCAATACTTCCAGAAAATTCCTCTGAAAAAGGTGCAAATTCATTGCCAGATACAGCATATTTATGGGAAATTTTCATAGAACTGTAACAATTTTTATATCCTTTCATAATCAAACATTAAACACAGAAAGCCATAACAAAATAGAGATCCATATTTTAAATAGTACATGCTAAAATCTATAACCTTGGTGGTTAATATTAATGATGCTCATGTATAAAACATGAATTTATATATCAAAATTTCACAATTTCTGGGAGGCAGCACAAAAATATTGATATGCTAAGAAAATTAGTTAATACAAGCTTCAGATTCAGTTGTTTAATGTATTTTACATTGAATTTAATGTAAAATTGCGGAAATCATCCTACTGATTCTCTCTCAAATTTACTGATTCCAAAATAATATGAGCTGCATTTACATGTTAACACTGAAGTAAAGAAAAATATTCTGTGCACTTATGCGATATGATTTAATATTTTAATGTCATCAGAATTTCTTCTTTCTCAAGAAAACCAGGAATGTGCGTACATGCATTTAATATGTTCTTACCATGGCTGAGTTCTTAATCCACCGCCGTTCTGGAATAGGATTCCCAGCCAATAAAATACAAGGCAAAGTAAGTTGCTGACCTTCAATTACATTGGCCACGGAAGGGCTGATTCCAATAAGAGGCGCGACTGTAGCCAAGAGAGCACAAGCACTTTCACATGGGTCTCATCCAAAGAGAAAGCACACATTTTACAGGACAAGACAACTACTAAAGGGGCAATGACAGCTTGAGCTTTCAGGTTCAAAATTTATCAATATTGATGCGTATGAAGTTGAAGGGAGGGGTAAAGAACATCAGTGAGTGAGGAGAGTGGCAGGAAGACAAGTCAAAGTGGAGGATAAAGAGTAAAGGTGCCCCAGGAGTCAGAGGAGGGAAGGCTGGACATTCATAGTGTTTTCAGGAGATGAATTCTCCAATAATTGAAAGCACCTGAGTAAATAGGTAGCATCAAGGAAGCAATGGTTTTAAAATATGAATCTAAAAACAGAAATCAATAAATAAAAACAGAACAGGAGGTATTGGAGAAGGGAAATCTAGAAAGGGTGCAGTCAAAGCTTAAGCAGACAAAATGAGGTGGCCCCTCGTGGCCGGGCAAAGAAGCATTGTCTTCTCCTGGTTGCTAGAGAGCAAAGACCATGTTCAACTGAAATCAAAGTAAAATCCCTAACAGAGTTTATCTTCAAAGTTTACATAGACGTATAAAGAGAAGTCCGTGAGGAAATTTTTGGAAAAGTTGTGAATTAACTGTTTATGCATAACAAATTCAAAAAAGCCAGATTTTAAAATCACACTAAGTGATACGATAATTTAAAAAATGTGTTGCTGGAAGAGAAATAGAACAGAATACTGAGCATTAAACTTAAGAATATAAGCTTATTATGTAATCAATGATGTAATTTAATCAGTGGGAACAAAACAGATTATTCAATAAAATAGATGGAAAAAAAAGTCTCACCACTTGGGAATAAAATGCACTATAATTAATTGATTCTTTATCACACAAAATATAATTTCATGTGGACTATACATTCTTAATATAAATGTCAAGAAGACAACTAGAGAGGAACTCTGACTCTAAATATATACTCACATTTCAAATTAATTTTTCCAAATTCATCCTCATCGTATCTGATGGAAAAGATAGCTTGGAGCAGAAGTTCTCTGAGGTTATTTCCAATTCTACTATTTTATGCAATATGAAATGCTGGGAGGAAGGCTAGTCTAATAATGATTTACTTGGTTGTTCGTTTTAAGTGGCACAAATAATAAGAGATGATATAGTAAGTTATTGGGGTGATGCTGAAGACATTGGATTCTAAACTCTCAATTGATCTTACCAAGTCCTGTCACAGTTATTGTTGCCTGGGATTGGATCTTTCCAAAGTGGTTTTCAGCTTCACAAATATAGGTTCCTTTATCATTTGCCCATAAATCTAAAAATAAAAGATGAGTTATTCATTCAATACTATCTATGAAGCAGTAAGTACACGTCAGCCTCATTTTTCTCTTGCAGAGTGACTGGCAGGTTCGAACCACCAACTTTCCAGTTTTCAAAACAGTAAAAGGGACATTAAAGAATATTTGCTATAAAAAGAGGGAATTGAGCCTAATGGGATGAAGACGCTGGCAGCTGTAACAAGTGTGTCTGTTTTGTGTGCAAAAGGACGGCTAGGAAAAGAACTGAAACAGTCAAATGATTAAGATTTTTGCAATTATCTTCAGTAAAATAAATGTAGTTTATTTTGGTCTTTTCTACTAAAAAAAATTCAACAGAGAAAAAATGAGCTTTAAATCATGTGCAGTTTCAAATTGTCGTAGACAAAAGCAAGGATAAAGTTTGCACTGCTATGTTAATCAAAACCATACAGCTCCCGAACTGTACTTAGGAAACTTAGTGTCCATTGGAAACAAAGGTAAAGATTCTTTTGGAGAGGAGAGCTCAACAAATCCCCAGGCTAATAAGTTAGACATTGCTTCTAACCAAGACAGTGCTAATCTTATCAACTCTTGGGCTGATTTGTAAAGAAGTACAACATGCTACTGAGCAGAAAGCCTGTAGTCACTAGTTTCTTTTAGATCATTTAATCAAAACATCCACGAAGTCATTACTCAGTGGTCTCTTTAAAAAGTATTTTCTCTCATATTTCCTTTTATATATTTTTTTCTGTCTCATTTGTGCTTCCACTGGGTTGGTCTTCATTACCAGCGTTACCCTATTATGAGCCTCCCCGATTCCCTCTGTCTCTCAACTCTCCTCCCAAATAGCAGACCAACCCTTCTGAAAGAGAGCATGCATGCTGCTTTGCCTGCCTGTGAGGATTGGGTGGGAGCGGCACTCTACTTCCAGTTCATCTCTCCTCTCAGATTGCAGATTGTTTTTATGCTTGAGTGAGTGACCACATGTTCTTTTATGTCTGTCATCACCACGGAGTCTACCATAAAACCGAATATTTAAATACTTTTAATTAGATGGTCCATATTTTGTTTGCAAATGTAAGCAACAGTTGTTAAGGTGTTGTTAAGTGCCCTTGACTTGGTTCAGACTCGTAGTGACCATCTGTTTAATAGAACGAAACATCGCCAGGTTAGCGCTTTCTGCATCCTCACAGTCCTTGCTGTTTGAGCCCATTGCTGCAGCGCCTGTATCAATCCATCTCATTGAGGAGCTCCCTGTTTTTCATCAATCCTCTACTTTATCAAGTGTGACGTCACCTTCAAGGAACAGGTCTCTCCTGAAAGGTCCAAAGTACATGGGAGGGAATCTGGTAGTAACATGGCTCCTCTTTCCTACAATGCTGTTCGTTCTTCTGGAAGTCCATGGTATGCCTGAGATTCTGCGCCATAATTCAAATGCATCAGTTCTTTGCTGGTCTTCTTATTCCTTGTCAAACTTTCACGTACATATGAAGCAATGGTAAATATCACGGCCTGGGCCAGGTGCCACTTGGTTCTCAAAATTAAATCTTAACTCATCAACACTTTAAAGAAGTACAGTGCGGCATATTCTCCTAAAGGCATTGGATCCATCCTTTGATTTCTTGACTGCTGCTTCCATGACAGCTGAGTGTGGATCTAAGTACAAATGAAAATCTGTGATCGCGTCAATCCTTTCTCCATTTACTATGATGTCATCTATGACCTCAGTGCAGAGGATCTGGGCTTTCTTTACATTGAATTCTAATCCACACTGAAGCCTGTAGTCTGATTTTTATCAGCAAGTGCATCAAGTCCACTGGACTTTCAGCAAGCCAGGTTGTATCATCTCTATATTGCAGGCTGCTAAAAAGCCTTCTTTGAAACCTGATACCTTGTTCTTCTTTGTATAATTTAGTTTCTCAGATTATTGGCTCAGCATACAGATTTAATGTGCATGGTGAAAAGATAAAGCCTTTGCACCTACCTTTTTTGATTTTAAACTATGCATTATTCCTTGTTCTGTTCCACCCACTGCTTCTTGGTCAATGTACAGGTTTCACTAGAGTACAATTATGTCCTGGAATTTCCATTCCACCCAATGTCACTTAATTTTAAAAATGATACACATAGTTGATTGCCTTTACTTAGACAATAAAATACAAGTAGAGGTATTTTCTGGTGCATTTTGCTTTCAGCAAAGCTCTATCTGATATCAGCAGTGATCTCCCTCATCCCAAGAACTCTGCTGAATTCAGCTTGAATTTTTCAGCTTTAATCTCCGGTGGTTCTGTGCCAATATACTGGTGCAACCATTTTTCATTTATTTTCAGCAGAATTTTACTGACACATGACACTGATATTATTTAATAATTTATGTATTCTGTTGGTTCACATTTTTGGGGGAATGAGCACAAATAGGGACCTCTTTCAGTGAATTGGCCAGGTCAAACCAAATCCAAACTGCATTGAGTGAATGCCAATTCACAGCCTCCCTATAGGACAGGATAGAACTGCCTCTGTGAGATTGTAACTCTTTATGGGAGAAGAAAGCCCCATCTTTCTCCCTCAGAGAGGCTTGTGATTTCAAACTGTTGACCTTGCAATCTGTAGCTCAACATTTAACCACTGTGCTACCAGGACTCCTAATTGGCCAGGTAGATGTCTCAAAATTATATAGACTAGTGAGTGCCTCCCGCACTACATAAGTTAACAGGGAGGGTAAAGGGAGAATGGGTAGGAAAGAGGGAACCGATTACATGGAACTGTGTGTGACCTCCTCCCTGGGGGACAGACAACCGAAAAGTGGGTGAAGGGAGACGTCGGACAGGGCAAGATATGACAAAATACCCATTTATAAACTATCAAGGGCTCATGAGGGAGGGGAGAGCGGGGAGGGAGGGGAAAAATGAGGACCTAATGTCGGGGGTTTAAGTGGAGAGAAAATGTTTTGAGAAACGATGTACAAATGCGCTTTGCACAATTGATGTGTGTATGGATTGGGATAACAGTTGTATGAGCCCTTAATAAAATGTTAAAAAAAAAAAAAAGGTTGATGAAACCTTTCAATTCACATTCAGTCCACCCTGGAGGCTTGACTTTTTCTAATGCATTCAGGGCCGCTTATGAGTCCTGGTGGCACAATGGCTGCACATTGGATTGTGATGTGAAACATTACTACCGAGCAGTTTGAAACTACCAGCCACTCTGCAGGAGAGGGGTAGCTTTCTACTCCCATAATCAGTTATAATCTAGGAAACTCATTAGGCAGTTCTATCCTGTCCCATGTTATCACCTAGATGGCAATGAGTTTGATTTTTGAGGCTCAGTGCTGCTTAAACTGCTTTCTTCATATTATCAGTTCATAATCATTTACAACTTCATGAAACTGTTGATCATTAATCCCCCTCTTTTTTTTCCTGCAGTGTCTCTATGTATTATTTCTATTTTCCTTTGGTGCTTCTTACATCATTCAATATTTTCCCCATAAAATCCTTCAGTATTTGTAGTAGTTATATAATCTGTTGTCAATTTCAGAGGCTTATGAGTGAAGGGGCGAAGGCCTGCCTGTCAATCATTGGTTAGCCAATGAGGCCTCTGTGTGGGCATGGCTTTCCCCCGAGGATTCTGGGAATTCCTGTATTTCCTTCTTGGAGGCAGGAGACACTTTCTCTCTCAACTCACTTCCTGTGAGACACTACTGATAAGACACATGGCGCTAGACTGATGCAGCCAGCGCCCTGAGCGGGAGGAGTCACGTGAAGATCCCTGCCAGTGCCGGGATGCTTACACCACCACTGGACCCACAAGACTTCCCACGTACTGACCTGTGATCTTCCTGCATTCAGCATCATTGCATGCGTTTCGTGAGTATGAAGAGCATTTTATAAATTGGTATCGGACATGAGGGCTAATATTGGACTTATGCACTTATTCTGGACTGGGCTGGGATGTTTTCTCAATATTCAATTGTTCTTATATATAAAGCTCTTTCTTATACACATATGAATGTCCATGGATTTGTTTCTCTAGTCTACCTGGACTAACATAATCTTTCAATTTAAGGCTTGCATTTTTTCTTCATTATTTATTTCACTTTGTGATATGCTGATCAAACTCATCATTTTTGGCTTTCTAACTTCAGTTCTTTGTACATTTTATTGTAACACTTCACTTTGTAGTCTCGAGTGGTCCTTTGAAATTTGCTGTTCTGTTCTTTTGCTTATTTATTTATTTACTGTAACTTAGGTGAAGTTTTATATTTCAGATTGTTAACTTTGTATTCCACAGCTAAACTATAATTCAACCCCTACCCCCCACTAGAGAACCCCTCCCCCACTGCTTGACTGCTCACTCCCTCTTGTGGCTCATTATTTTCCAGCTTCTCTGCATAAAAGCAAGTTTCTGAGTCTCTTCTGAAATCCACGTTGGTCTGTCCTGTCTTTGTAATCGCGTTTTGATTTCTTCATGTGTGATGTTCTGCTGTCATCCCACAATCGGACAGGTCTTCTGTCATTAACATTCAAGGCATCAAATCTGGTTTGGAGTGTTCTCTAAATTCACTTTGTATGTTCTCAAAGTCATATTCACCTTGTATGTACTCAAAGTCAAATTCACCTTGTATGTACTCAAAGTCAAATTCACCTTGTATATACTCAAAGTCAAATTCACCTTGTATGTACTCAAAGTCATATTCTGGCTCTGGTAGACTTGTTCTAGTCTTCTTCAGATTTAACCTGAACTTAACCCAAACTTACATATGAGCCATTAGTAGTCTGTTCTGAATTTCACCTCTGGCCTTATCTGATGATACTGAGCTTCTTTATAGTTTCTTCCCACAGATGTGGTCAATTTAATTCCTGTACATTTCACCTGCTGATATCCACGTGTATAATGTCTGCGTATGCTGTTGAAAAATGTATTTTCAGAGAAGTGTTGCAAAATTCCATAATGCAATCTCCAGCTTCATTGGTATCACCGATGTCATATTGTTCAATTACTGATCCTTCTTTTTGTTTCAAGCTTTGACCTTCCAACTCCCAATAATCATCAGTGCATCTTGACGGCATCTTTGACTTCAGACTGAAGAAGTTGGTAGAATTCTTCAAAGTTTTCATCTCTAGCTTCCATGGTCAGTGTACAAATTTGAATATTAGTTATATTAATGGGACTTGTGGGCCCGTAGATATTATCATGGTGATAGCATTATATTTTATTTCGAGATAGTCTTGGAATGTTTTTATTGACAATGAACAGGCCACCATTTTTCTTGAAATTATCATTCCTAGCAAAGTCTATGTTAAGAATGCAAATGTCTCAACTCAAAATGACCAACATCGATCCTCTTTAGTTCAGTAGTGGCGAGGATATTGCCGGCTATACGTTTCATTTAATATTTGATGACACACGTTTCCAAGAGTAATACTTTGTGCAGCTGTTTCTTCTGATTGAATCATGCCCCACCAGCAAATGATGGTCCTGAAAGCTTTACTTCAGCAACGTCATTAAGGATGCCTCCACCTTCAGGAGGCAGCTCCTCTCCTTCCTACTGTGGGGGCTTCCAGCCTGAGGGGCCCATTACACCTTGAGATTATACTTTACAATGCTTCACGGATATTCACAACATTTTCAGTGGCTAATTTTTCAGATGTGAACCCTCTCTTCCTTCTTCCTATTCTGTTTCTAGTCTGGAAGCTCCTGCTCATCACGAATGGCCCTGCTGGTGCTGAACTACTGGTAGCAGGGCTTTCAGCATCACAGCAGCATGCAAGCCCCACAGCAGCACAAGCTCACCGATGAGTGAGGGCTAAACAGCTAGTGTATATTTCATATTGTTATTTAACAGCACAGTCACTTTTTGGAGACTTTGTACAAAATACCCGAAAGATTCAATGACCTTTAACAATCAATTAGCCACCTAAACATTTTTCCTCTTTTGGTGCCACAATCCCCAAATTCTTAATATTATTTGAAATAATGCAAAGTGGTTTCAAATGTATAGTTACTTAACAGTCTATAGGTAAAAATTTTAAGGTACTTAGTATTTGACTTATTTTTTGCATTTCTTGGTTCAAATGGATACACCTTTTTCAAGGAGCCTTAATGAATATCGCTTGCCAAAAATAGTTCACTAAAATTAACTGACTACTGGTCATAACTTTCTTTACAACTTTTCTTTTTAGTTGATCTATAAAATCAATAAAATATATGATTTATCCATCAAGAAACCAAGTTGTCTCTAATAGAAAAGAACAAGGAGGAATGGAACAATCTTGATTTAGAAGTCTTTATGACAAACTAATGCCATATATTTGAGTATATATAACCCATCTAGGTAATTCCAAAATGCAAAGTTTTAGTCCTCTTTTAAAGTGAAGTAGAGGAAGCACAAAACATGGTGACAAGATTAACTCACTGTTTTCAATGTAACAATACCTATGCATGCAACATTATGAATGCATAATTCACATATGTATTTTCATAAAATAAATTTCCTTTAGCTTACTGAAAATAGAGAGGGCCCCCGTCCTTAGTTGACTGACAGAACTAACTGAAAAGGGTCTTGAGAAAAGTGGCATGCTATCTGATCTCCGCCATTTGATCCTTGGTTCTGGATAACCATGAACATAGCAAGGCAATGTCACATTAGAGCCGATGTTTACAGACACATCAGTAGGTTCTTGTATGAAAACTGGAGGTGCTGGAAGATATCGAAAAACATAAAAAAATAAATCATTAGTACAGTGTATAGACACATTAATTATAAGCTTGATAATTAAGCAATTGACACATTAAATGTGAATCATATCATTGTTTATATAATGTTATTAATTTATACTTTTATAACTGTTCTGATATAGAACTAGAATTTCATATTTGTCCTATCGATGAAAAGGAGGCACGAGATGTAAAATGATTTCCCTAAGATGATATACGATGGGAAGAGTGAGACTGTAATTCAAGACTACGTTAGTCAAAGAGGATCTTCCATTTTAAAATGTGTTTTCAACTTTAGTTGGTGATGTGCTTCTCAAATGTGAAGATTTTCTGATAGAGAAGAAGGTCTTGGAAGAGACTATTTTGACACTTTCTAAACTCAATCCCTTCAACTGATTTTTTTTTCGAGGCAGAGTGATTTATTTATCACAGAGGTTAACTGTAAACTCTTATTTCGTAAATACTGGAAATGCAGTTAGAAAAGTGCAGAGACTTGCGCAAAATCAAAGCTTGTGAGACATTTCTCCTTAGGTAGTGCCAGGAGTGGAGAAAATATTTTAGTCTTCTAAAACCCTATCTTCAAGTTCACACATCTTTTCGAGGACGAGTAAGAGTCCCAGGGAGGAGAAAGCGATATGGCTTTCCATGTGTGTCAAGGAACAATAAGGACAACAAGGTGGCTTAAAAAACAAAACAAAAAACCAGCACCTGCTTCCTATTTTATGGATTAATGGCCATTTGAAAAAAAAAATCTATGGTTTCCAATCTCTTTGCCTTTCTGTCTACTCCTAAGCTTTCCCAGACCCACCCACGCTTCAGGACAAACCATGACAGCATAGTATACGCCAATAATTTCTAAAGGCCTGGGCACCTACTTTCAGGCGCTTCTGTCACAGCTTATTTACAGGCTGAGGAGGCATAAAGGGCACTGGGGGTTCTCAGGTGGATAGACACCGGCTTCTGAGTGGAGACGCTGAAGGTCTCTGGGTTGGCTTGCTGCTTCAGGACTCAGGTCAACAGGGGCTCAGATGAGAGGACAGGCAGCCCTGCCAGGAGGGGGATGGAGCATCAAGGGAAATCCTGGGAGCCAGTGATTACTACTCTCTGAGGCTTGTAGGACCTTACCTACCCTGGATTCATCCCCACTTCCAAAACGGCCCCAAAGAGGGCAGTTCCCCCCGAAGATAGAGTTCCTGAAAGAACCCCAAAAAGAGACTGCCCGGAAGAAAGAGAATGTAGTGATGTCAGGACCAGTCAAGAGGAAGCGAGAGCAGAGGAGGAGCCCAAAGGAAGTCAGAGCCCCAGCTTCAGACGCCCCAATGTTCTCTTCACAGGCGTGGTGGATGCTCTGGGAGAGCGGGCTGTGAGCCCAAGTCTGGCCCACTCAGTGACCGAGGCCTCACGCTTGGTCACGGATCGAATCCGCTGAAAGACCAAGTTCCTGTGTGCCCTGGGGCGAGGTATCCCCATCCTCTCCCTAGACTGGCTGCACCAGTCCCGCAAAGCTGGTTGCTTGCTGCCCCTGGAAGAGTATGCAGTGGTTGATCCTGAGCAGGAGAACTTTGGCTTCAGCCTTCAGGATGCCCTGAGCCAGGCTTGGAAGCAAAGGCTGCTTGCTGGGGGACTATGAGATGTATGTGGCCCCTGAAGTTCAACTGAATCTTTAAAGTGAGCTTTACTGGAGTTCATTATTCAACAGATCACTATATAACATGCTTAAAAGTGCTTAATCCCGAATTCTGTCAGTGTTAGAATCAAGAATAGGAAGTAAAAGAATGCAGTATGGATGAGGTGGAGACCACTCAGGGCTTTATATCTTAACAAAGTTAAGAAAGGACTCAGAAATTAAACAAACTATAGCCCCAAAGCTATGGATAGCCACATAATTCAGACAATAGGAGAGCAACACGAGTCAGACGAGACCGGGCTATGGTAATAGGGAGGATGCTGTCAGCAAGCCAGAGTAAGTGCTGATGAGGCATCTTCTCAGGAAAATCTGAGCGTACGGGATACTGTTGGGGGCCAGGAATGAAACCCCATCTCAGATTTAAGAGCAGGTAGCCAAAGTGGTCTCCTTGGTAAGGTCAAAGACAATTGATACATATTGTTTAGAAACTAAAATGACAACTATATTTGACTAATCCAAGAAGTGTGAGTTATGAATAATCTCACAATGTCCCTGTGAGACAGGTATTACTACTATCCCAGTTTCACAGATGGAAAAACAAAGGTAAATAAATTACTTGGTAAATGTCACATGGATTTGAGCAGTCAAACTAGGATTCAAACCAGGACAAATGACTCCTGAGCTCTAATTACTTGCCATTTTATCAGATTCCCTTTTTAAAAATAGGTTCTTACTGCCGTTCTCTTTAGAAGGCTAACAGAAATTACGTGAAGTTCATGTCTTTCATTGTCATGGGAATTCTGGGCCCAACTGTCCGTTACTTTGAGAATAGTGTTGTTTCTTTAGCTTTTGAACCTGGGCTCAGGACATTCCTCTACTTTTTCTACCTCATCTCCCACTACTTTCCTACATGATTTCTAACCTCTAACTAATCAGTACTCTTCTCTCTTCCTCAATAGGGTTGCCTTTTTGTTATCAGGATACCTATGCGATTTCACCCCATTCAAATGCAAACTCTCAAGAGACCTCTGGTTATCAACAATTAAAAATTCTTTCAAGCCAGTTCATGAGGTCACTCCTTCAGGATGCTGCCTCATTCCACCCCAGTGGACCACTGCTTGTTCCATCTGAACTCTCAGAGAGCTCGGCCTATGCCGTGCTCACGAGTCATCACGCTCCGTTGTTTAAAGCAGAGCATGCCTATCCCTCCTAATACATTGTAAATTTCAAAACAATTGAGATTTACAGTTTCATTTTTACCCTTATTGACAACTAACACAGTACTCTCTGCATTAACATTGGCGACTAGACATTTTTAAGTGAATTTTTTAATCAATCTTAAAGCACATCAATAAACTCAATGCGAGTGTATGTGTGTGCAGTGATAACCTTGGCTTATGTTGTGTCCAGAAGACTCAATTAACATGAGAGAAGCCATCCTTGAGGAAGATGCTTGGCAAAGAGCAAGCACAAAAAATATGTGAAAGGCCACCAATTAGTGAATGTACATACTAGGACCAGAAACAAGCCAAATAAGAGTACCAGGAACTGGGCAAGCAGCCAAGAGAGCACAAATAAGACATCAATGACAACTAAACCTAAATTATGAAGCAATTTATATCCCAGGCCAAGAGATCTCTTAAGTACTTCCTATTCCTAAGTGTGGAAAACTGGACTCTAAATGAGTAACATTGGGTAGACGGTAAACAGATTAATGAGCATAAGACCTGGGCAGCAGTCAGTAAGTGTAGGCCAACATTTAATACTGGTATACAGACGTGTCGGACAATGACAGGACTGCTAGTCTTTATAAATATCTAGTACATACATAGCAAATTCCCAGATATTAACTATCATGAGCCATAAATATCACATGATCAATTTATTAGATCTTAGTCCTGCAATTTAATGAATCTGTTTTCAATCGCTTTTTTTTTTTTGATTCTGCATATGTTGTAGTCTATTAAGACCAGTTTCTGGAGAGGATGTTATGCCTGGTCAAGTAGACGATCAGTCAAAAAGAGGAAGACCCTCAGGGCTCCAGCAATCAGCTCAAACGTGACCAGAACGGTGAGAACGGCACAGGACTGGGCAGTGATCCATTCCATTGTACATAGGATCACTGCATTAGAGCTGACTTGGTGGCACCAAACAACAGCCAACAACATCAAGATCCTGTTGAATCCTCTGTGATCCCCGAAGTTTTTGTACGCAAGCACCTGAGAATTGTGCAGTCAGGACTTTGATGCCACTTATTGGCAGATACAGTTGTGTAGGTTGGCCATCTTGCTATGAAACCTACTCCAAAATTATTCCAAGTCCTTGGGTGATAATTAGATATACCTACTATGTATGACAAGCTTCACATTATATTAATCAAACAGAGATGCTCTTTCCTACAAAATACACAGCCACAGACTAAGACCCAGTTCCTGTGTGGTGTGGAATGCTGCAAATAAAGTCATTGCCAGGCCAACTTTCTGTTTGCTATCACAGTCTTATTTCTTTCCCAATGAATTCACAATTCACTATTCCTCTATCAAAAAAGGATAAAAATCATTGGCAGCTTTCCCTGCTGACCTAAAATGTCCATATCTTAAAGCCATGAAAATGAGAAATATAAAAAAGGAGACTTACTATAAAAAGCTAACATTGCAGAATAATAGTAAACAGGATTCTATTATTATTTTTGGTTGAGTTTTGTTAATGTACAGTACTAGGCCCATAAAAACATCATAAAGTCCAAATGGCTCCGTGATATGGATAAAAATATGGTTTTGTTCTTAAGTCACTGGATACTTAAATTTATGCCCACAAGATTTGGAACTCTTATGAATAATTTTATGCACTACTAACAGTTTAATAGTTAATTTGTTCCAAGTCCTTTTCTAAAAGCTGGGTAGAGCAGTGACTTGCAAAGTGAAAGATAAATGCTTAGTCTTAAATATTAGGCTACTAGAATAGAGAGAGAGTTTAGATGTAAAATTTACAGTTAAAAAGAGCTTTAAAAAGTTCATGCAAAAATGAAATTTTTTGAAGCTCTCTTGTAGATCTTTATCCATCTACATATTTATATATGTTTATATATATAGATGCATGTCTAATGTCATTCTATATCATTTTTCAAAACTCAAAAAATTAACAATGGCCAATTAATTTCTGAAGTTAATATTCATCTAGCTGACACATGAATTCGGTGCAGTGGATAAAGAGAAACCACACGTATCCTGAGAGCCCACCAAGTTTCAAGTTTCAAGCACCTCATCTCATATTTAAAGCCACTCTGTGAAGTAGGTAGCTTTTACATACTTATTGTATAGACAAAAAATAGGTGGGCATAAAAGCTACACAGGCAATGATGATTAGAGGTAGGATTAAAAAAAACAAAAAAACACTCTTGCTCCAGAGTCCATTCTCTTAACCATTTTGTAAATTTTTGTTTCAATGTGTGCTTTTCAACCTAATAGTGAAACCCACAACTATCAGCGTGATTGTGATCCGCCTATATCTTCATAGTTACATCCCATGTCCTTGAGACCAGCGAGCAGTAGATTCATGAGAACAGCGAGGGGCTAAGCAACCTCTGGGGGATGATGAGTAGGATTCCAATAATGAAAAATGAAACAGTTAAAAAGATGCTGACGTTAATATTAAGCTATTTGGCAACTGCTAACAGACATCAAGGGTACAGTAAGCAAACAATTAGATGTAGTATGTTAACTCCATCAGGGCGACTACTGGAATAAGGGTTAAGGAAGCCATTGTCTTAGACAGGGTCAGGGAAAGTAAAGATCTTGAATTGAGATGGAAGATAAAAGGAAGTTCAGTTCAGTTCAAGGAATGAAGGATAAACACAAAACATTTGTTGGAAAGCTCCCTCATCCAAGGCAAGTCACCAGCACACACAGCTCCAGCCCATCCATGGTGTATCTCTGGGCAGGACCAAGAACCTGGAAAGTCCAGAACCCAAACAGATGACCAAGAAGACAGAGAGTAAGCCACGAAAAATGTGTAAGATTGTTGGATTTTAAACAAAGAGGGGGATCTGAAAAGGGCATTCCAGTTTTGCTGGGAACAATTCCTGGGCTGCTCCCCTCTTCCGCTGCTCTCTGTACAGTTGTAAAGAATGTGGGGTAAATAGAAAGTCTATGTGCAAGAAGGAGGGAGAAGCAAAACCAGAAATGTGGCGAACTGAACCACTGTGCTCAGGACAGTACTTGAAAACAAGAATTGTGTAAGTATTGGTATCACTCCTCCTCGTTTAATCCTGACATTTACAGCCTGCTGGTAGATCCAGAAACATCCTCTACTTCGAGATTCCAATTTTGTTTCCAAGGCACTTCTCTTAATAAGCACAGTTTTAGTCATGGTTTGAATACATCTTGCTGTGCCCTCAACAGTCTACAGAGGTCCTTGTGGCCATTCCCTGCGTTGTTGATTCTACCCTCAGGGCAAAATCTCCCAGAAAGCAGAACATTCACCAGATGGCCCCAGAGCAAAGGGATCATAAAAGATCCCAGGAAGAACACATGAAGCTGACATAAAACAAAACATTGCATGGCGTTCATGTAAAGAATTAATAGAATACAAGCGTTATGTGTTACTTTTCTTTTAAAAAAACGCATTTTCATTCTAGTGCCTTGCTTTCATGTTAAAAAAGAAGCTTTAGCATTAAAAAAATGTTATTGCTGTTGTTAGTTGCCAATGACTTGGTTCAGACTCACTGTGATCCCACAAACGTAAACAAAAATACAATTCAATGAAATGTCACATTTTATAAGCTTTAAGTGATACAAATGTTTGAATTATCTGTTTATATTAAGTTGCCAGCTGGTTGCTTAAACTGAGTTGTTTTCTTTTCTATTTTACCACATTGTGAAGAAAGCTTTTGTTGTTTCTTTCCCAAAGAGACCAGAGATTGTGGAACAAAGGAGGGAAGGACAAACTTATTGAGTGACATAAGTGCGACTGTCACGCACATCTTTCGGATTGCAATGAACATTTATTTGTAAATAAATATACACTGGAGAGTAATTGTTAGCGAACTGGAAAAAAAAGTAAAAACACAATCTGCTACCTTTGTTGTCAACAGCTTCTCCCAATTACAGTTTAGGGGCAAAGTTTAATTTCTGGTCTGCAGATATTAATATTTAAAAAATGGGTATCAGAGTGAATGATTCCTGATAGGAAAATATTTGGCAATATCTGATATACTGGTTAAGCCCCCAATCTCTGAAATCAGAGGGGGAAAAAAAACCTAGTTGCTGTATAGCCAATTCCAACTCATGGCAGCGACCTCTTGTGTAACAGCAGAGCTATGCTGCAAGAGTTGCCCCCATGGCTGATTTTCCAGATTTTCTCCCCAGGTCTTCCTTCTGAGGCCCCCAGGGTTAATTCAGCCCACTAACCTTCTGTTAGCAGCAGCATATGGACCGTTCTCCCCACTCAACAATGCTGAAGACAGAAACCTCGGTTCACATATTCACGTTCCTCCCTCCTACCTCTATAACACCAGTCAATTTGTTTAGCCTCTCAAAGCCTCCATTTCCTTCTTTATATAACTAAGCTAATAAAAGCATCTTTTATCCTCTTAGGGCTGTTACAAAGACTTAAGGAAATAATGCATATAAAGATTATTTGCACACTGCATGTCATAATAATCAATACTAAGTATCATGACTATGTTAGTTATCTGAAATATGCATTTTACTTTTGCTATTCTGACAAAGGTTTCTTCTCAACTACTTCAGAGTTATTAAATATAGATAATTAGTAGACAGATATCAAAAAGAATTTGTCTACTGTCACCAGAATGCTTACAACCAACATCCAAAGTTATCTTGCCGGTGGCTCTTCCTGCCTCATTGATGGCTACACAGGTATAATCACCAGCATCCAGATCTTGTGTTTCTTGAATCTTCAAATGTCCCAATAAGGGGTTGATAATGAGGAATGCCGAGGGCCTTAGCTCAAGATCTCCTAAGTCAAAACAAAGGGGGTAACATTAAACACCACAATATTTGCATACTATTGACTTTGACTCTGCTGTTGGTTTAACATAAAGACTTCAGAACAAAGTTGACTATAAAGCTTTTAGAGTACCAATGTCTGGTGCAAAGGAGGCAGTGTTTACGCAATGAGAAAACGAAGTGTTTATTGGGATTGAAGTGATTTATTAGTCTATATAATTCTACAAGCTAATCTATGGCCAAAAATCTGGCCGGGAGATGGATTTTGCACAAATATGTCTAAATTAATATGCACCTAAATAAGAATAAGCTCTTTGAAGCCACATTGCGTACCTGGGAAATGGTGGCATTTATAACAGTATCTGTGTAAAGCAAAGACAGGCATGGAAACAAGTGTGAAAAAAGTTTTGACAGAAATCTTTGTGGCAAGATGAATTTCAGTTACCCAAGGGAATGTTTCAGAGACTAGGAAAAAATAAAAAACTCCCTGCCATTTAGTTGATTCTGACTCCTAGTCACCCTATAAGATAGGGTGGAGCTGCCCTGTGGGTTTAACTCTTGTAGTAGAAAGTCTCCTCTTTCTCCCACAGAGCAGCTGGGGGGTTCAAACTGCTGACTTTGCAACTAGAAGCCCAAATTGGAAGCACTGCACCAACAAAGATCAATTGCCATTCCTGCCCCCTGTAATCCAATCGGCATGCTTACAGCTTTCACAAGATCAACTCTAACTGGCAGTATTCAGCAAACCCAAAATCTAGTCGTAAGCCAAATTACAATCAACTCTGATTTTGGCTAATGATTAGAATTTCAGTTTGCTGGAAACTGGTTGGATTTTGTTTTGTGAAAGGTATAAGCATACGGAAAGGATTCCAACCAACAAAGCCTGGGAGGAAGCCACAGGATTCCTGCAAAGGAATAGGCAAGAGTGCATGGGGAGAAGAGAGCATGTGGGTGAAGGAATTCCAACAGTGATCAGAAGGATTCTGCTCTATGAACTTCCAAGGTAATGCTACCATTAAAATCTGTTTTATTCTAATTGCTCTATGTGTGGATTGTGATAAGAGTTGTATAAGCCCCAATAAAATGATTTTTTAAATCTGCATTATTCATCAAAGTTGTTTTTTTGTTTTGTTTTTGAGTTGGAGCAACAGGTTGTGAGGGAGGGCAAAATTCCGAGGGCAAACTTGTGGAGTTCGAAATTTTACTTCAATAGGACGGAAGAGTGACCTAAGAGAGACAACTTTTATCTTGGCTACCTGTCTTTGTTGTGTTATCACGCAGCATCTCGGCTCCCCTCAGAAACCTTTTTGTCTGAAGGCCACAAGGCCTCCACAAAGCTGTATATTCAATTAGACTTATCTTTATCCTTCCTCCCGGGGGTTTCCGCTCTGAAGAATGTAAACTAAGCAGGATAACGGGTATAAAAACAAGTGCAGAGTCCTGGGTGTTTCATGCCAGCTCAGTGTCAACAACTCTTTGTTTATTTGTTTGTATAGAGCGTGATGCAGACCATGTGGAGTTCCTCAAAACTCCCATGAGGTTTGAGGACTGCCACACTTGGAATTTCACAGTGCTCCCTGTTACCAAGTTTATAAAGATAGTCTCCAAACGCATACACACTAGCTATTTGCCTTGGATCTGAGGCCCTGAGAAGTAGCTCCCACATCCTCTGAAGGGCGAAGACAATGCCAAAACCAACCCAAAGCACTTGCTGACCAATCAGTTCTCACTCACAGTGATCCAACGACAGAGCAGCCTGTCCCTCAGGGTGTCCAAAGCTATAATCTTTCTAGAAACAAACCTGGCACAGACTCCCACAGAGCTGCTGCTGGATTTAAACACCCAGCCTTTGGTTAACATCCAGGAGCCTCACCATTATGCCACCAGGGGTCCTTGCTTGGACAACCCAAGAGCTAGTTATTTCCCAGGACATTTCAAGAAGCACCTATCAACACTCTCAAGGCAACAAACAATTTCCTTTTTGTTTTTATGTTTTTGAAAGGAAGGGAGTTCAAAGGTGCTCTAAATTTTTTTAAAAAGAAAGAAAAAAACAATAATAACAATCAACCAACAGTGCCAAAAGCATTTCTCAACATTCCAATATTTCAAACCTCAACTTTCCTTTTAGGCTTGCTACTACATACCACGCAAGAATCAGAGAAGCAACCAGAGCTGAGTCTCTGTGTCTCTGGGAAATTTTCATAAATAAAAGCAGATGATGTTGACATAAACTTTCCTCCTCCCAAGACAGGATGCAAGGGGATGTTCATAAGTATTCAAATGTTTGGGCTACAGTGGATTTAGATTTTGGGAATTGACTTTTATTTCTTCTGTATATGTCACATAGGGCATGCTATAGTGAAATGGGATCTCTTTTGCTAGTAGGTTTTTCTTTTTTTTCCCCTTCAAAATGACAACAATACATAGTTGATCAAGGACACAGGAGGGTGGAAGGGTGGGGAGGGGAGGGGACAAAAAAGGTGCTTATACCAAGGGCTCAAGTAGAAAATGTTTTTGAAACGATGATGGCAACATATGTACAAATATGCTTGATACAATTTATGTATGGAATTTTGTAAGAGCTGTAAGAGCCCCCAATATAATGGTTTAATGTATTCACACACACACAAACACGATTTTGAAGATGAAAAAAATTAAAATAAAATGTTCTAACAGATGTTTATAAAGTAGCATTAATGAAGCAAAACAAATTTGAAAAAAATAGTTCAATTTAAATTCATATTTTCTAGCCTCTCCTTTCTGGCTTTCAAGTGAAAAGTTTGCCATCAAATTATAGATGTTAGAGAAACAGAAGTTTTGAGATAAAAATGCAGTGTTACTCACTTAGTTTTAGTCTAACCCCTGCATTAGAAATTCTGATTAGAAATATATAGGAAATTAAACAAATGGATTGTTAACCCATTGTGGAATTTAACTCATTACCACTGTGGAAGGTTCAAATTCAAAGTGAAAGTCACTTCCATTGAGTTGATTCCAACTCATAGAGACCCTGTAGGACAGAGTAGAACTGCCAGTGTGGGTTTCCAAGGTTATAAATCTTTATGGGAGCAGAAAGCCTCATCTATCTACCAAGGAGAGGCTGATGGGTGTGAACTGCTGACCTTGCCGTTGACCGCACAACTCACAACCCACTCCACCACTGGGACTTTTAAGAATAGTCTAAATGTAACCCTGTCTTTGTAGCTATAAAGACAAGCACAGAGACTACAATAGCTGACACGCAATCCTTTCAAATAGTTGTTGGCAATTAAGAGATTCTCAAACTTTTTTGTCTCCAGGCCCTTTATGTTCCTAAAAATTTACATTCCTAAAAAATAGTGAGGAGTCAGATCTGAGTCTTTGTTTATATGGAGTGTGTTCATTTATGTTTAGCATTTAAGAAACTAAATTGAGAAACTTAAAAACATGCATTCATTTATTTTAAAATAATGAAGCCTTGTAATATTTCAGCACAATGAACATATTTTATGAAAAATAAAGTTTTCCAAAAGAATAGGAATTAACCGAATATCGTTTCATAGTTTTGCAAATATCCAGCACATTTTGCTCAATAGAAGGCAACTGAGTGTTCAACCTTGCTTCTTACTTCACTCTGTTGGCTATCCTTGCTGCACAGCCTCCAGAAATTTTCACTACAGTTGTGAGATAATGAAAGTGCAAAAGAAATCTTAATATAATTGTAAAACTAGGTTTGTCCTTAAAAATCCCTGATTAAATTTTGGGTGACCTTCCAAAATTCCCTGACAACACTTTGAGAATCACTCAATAGTTTTAATGTTTCACCATAAATATATTTTATGACATTTTAATCATGTGCCTGATATTCTTTGAACCCACTTGATATTACTCATTTCTAAAATGAGAGACCTAAAACTTTATTTTAGGAAATTTCGGAAATTTCTTTCTGTTGATGATCTAAATGAAATAAAGTTCATTACTGCTTCTTTTTAAACACTCATTCAATATGAATTTTCTCAAGAAAGATATGCACAGAAAGTTATCCTTATGATTTGAGCAGGACCTATTCTTATTCATTCCTGCTATGGAGGAATTTTCCAAAACTTCCTGGCATCTTGTTCCCCCACTGAAGTGAGAGAGGAGAGCAGGGCGGCTTTGGACAATTTCTTTAGAGGCAGCCCATATGTAGAAGAGTTTACCACCTGAATTCCACTCTAAGTAGTCCACTGTTGACTCTTAAGGAAAATTGCCTGCATGTGACTGGAAGTATAAATAGGCCTGATTCTAGGTTTGGAGCATATCTGTCTATTGTTCATGAACATCAGAGCAATGTTTCCCAATATGGTCTGTTAGCATCTAATGGCAATATTCTGTTTCTACTGGTTCAAAACTCAAGGGGAATGTGCTGTTATTTATTGGTCCCTTGAATTCTAATATCTATGGCTGAGGAAAGAGAGTGATGAAGAATCAGTTCTAGCATCTCCCAGGTAGTACTTGTGCAGAGAGGCCATTTGAGCATGGCTTTGTACCTTACCCTTCATGAAGACCAACTCATTTCCACGGAAACTAACCACGAGGAGAGCTCCAGTTTGGGAGAACAAAAGTCTCTGTGCGACAGTCCTCTAGCCAGGCAGAGATCAAAGCACATTCCATTGATTTCTGAATATTTATGTTCAATGTAGACTACTGACTAACATAAAACACACTAAGCTCCCTCTGAAACGTGTTTTGTCTGAGTCCATATCTAAAATTATAATGTGAATTCAAACACTTTATATATGTACATATGTATATATACTTCTTTTGTAATTCAAAGATTTAAATATTTCGGATAAGTAACATGAGTTTATATGTTAAATTAAATAAACCCAATTAAGGAACAAGCCCAGAAATGTTTTCATATCAGAGAAAACCTGAAAACTAGAAAGCGTTTAGCATGGAAAACCATGAGCAGGACCTTATCTCCCGGCTTCCTTTCCTGTTTTTGACTTGTCTTACAACTGCAAGTGATTGTTTTCTGCATAAAGGGCTTCTCATTTTTTTCACCTCGTGTTCCCCAAGAGTCGGAACTCGAGGTGAAGTCATCAGTTTGTACTGATGACATCAACCCGTTACTATGGGAATGTCCATGATTGAGCAAACAGCATCAGAACAATAGTGCTTTGTACTACTTACCATTTTTTATTTGAAGATTACCAAGTATTTTGCAAACAGAATCTCAATAATCCTAGCAACCTCTCTATTAGGATGTTTGTGGGAATCGCTCTTTCTCATGAATTGGAAGAACTGAGACAGAAGCAGAAGCAGGGCTTTTTACACAAATTACCTCTGTCAGCAACAGCCTGGACCCAGACCCAAGTGTATTCTCACATGACTGTTTCTTATTATAGAATCATCGAGGTACAAGCCTTGTGTAAGACAGAGAGACAGATAATGCCTATACTTGATACAGGCCTCTGCCAAGCCTGATGAATCTGGTCAGAGAATATGAGCACACATCTTCAAAGTGTGTCTTTATTTGAGTAGTTTGTAGAAAACACCCTGGAGAATGGAGAAAACCTCCAGAGCCATCTTCTGTAAGGAAGAGGAACTGAAATCAGTGAAACTACACTGAACATTTACTGGGTATTCCTGGAACATATTCTACAGGAAGCGACCCTAAACTAACAAAGAGAAGGTTCAGCTGGATTAGCAAAGGCTCACTTTTCCTTCCTTCCTTTTCGTGGCTTTGTAATCCACACCAGATGTCAAATTCTGAAACCTAGAGTTTGGAATTTTGAGTAATCATCCCCACTGAGATCATAAACACTTTTTATGGGGCTACTATGTCACACACCAAGACAAAATTTTAACAATACCCCCCCAACCACCACCAACCAATTTTAAGAGAAAGCAAAAGGAAGTGAACTAAACACTTACCGTGTTTCCCCGAAAGTAAGACACCCCCCAAAATAAGACCTACTTACAGCTTTGCCTTTCGCTGAAATATAAGGCATCTCCCCTGAAAATAAGACCTCCCCGAACATAAGGCCTCCCCGATAATAAGGCCCCCCGAAGCTACCGTAACTCTGGACTCTGGATCGCAGTGGCGGGCACTGCCACACAGCTCACTGTTGGCCACAGCGCAGCCAGAGCAGACAGGAAGTATGAGTAAATGTACCATAGAGTATGAGTAAATATACCATAGATTGTTGTACATGGAAATAATGGTACTAACAAGAAATTCTTGATACTGTAGGATTCACAGTTTGTCTAGTTATGCTGGTTTGTGATGACAACCACTACTGTACTGTATACAGGTAATAAATTTCCTTTTTTGTTGTTCAACAATAAATGCATACCATATTCTTCTTCATGGAAAAATAAGATATCCCTGAAAATAAGACTTAGCACATCTTTGGGAGCAAAAAATTAATATAAGACACTGTCTTATTTGGGGGGGGGGGAAGGGTAGAAGCATACCTTTGAACCATTTAACTTGAGGTGGAGGCACACCAGAGGTTTTACATTCCATAACAGTTGTATCCCCAAGGGCAACCAAGAGCTCACTCTGAACTACCTTCAACTTGGGGGCTTCTGGAAATGCAGAGACGTAGATATTCAACGACTGCACAATGCCACACACAACTCTGTTTATTAAATGATATTAGATAAAAATATCTTTCCATATTTACAAACGTGTGTCTATTCCAGTATTTACTCAGAGCACTTTTAAAACACATACACATGAGTATGTGATAAAAAAATCAATCATTAAGGAAAAGGCCTGTTAGCAAAATACTTTATAAATCTATGAAGTGTTTACGGTAAAACAGAATCCTAATGATTTAAAACAAGTAATTAATTAGTAGGTTCTTATGAAAAAGAGGAAAACATAATTCTGGAAAACTGAATATATATTATGAAAGCAATAAACAAATAACAGCAAGAAATACTACTGCTAATCACAGAAATATGAATATAATCGAAGGAGGAAAGATGCTAAGACTGACTTGGCTAAATTAAGTATTGGAATAACAAAATTGCTAATGAATTTGTAGTAATCTCCACCTTATTTTAAGTACTTCCTTATCTAATTACAAATTTTTCATATCTAATTATCTAGCTACGGTCAAGGACTAAAATTTCTTCTATTAAAAGAAAAACAACAGAGTCTCTGTATTTCCCTTTGATGCTACTTACAACTATTCCCTGCATTTATTGTGGTAGCACTCTTTGTTTCTCCCCAATAATACTTTATTCCCTCACATGTTTTCTCTCAACTGGGTATATAAGAGCTTTCCAACTTCGATTGAAGTCATTTTAAACTATGGCTTTTTTACTTTTTTGTGCTGGTTTGGTCTCCTGCTGAGGATTTGTATTTTCATCCCAAATATGCTAACCAGAAGCTTTATTTTAACAAGATTCCCATGATGGTTCCTATGGATACATACATAAAAATCACCTGGAGATCTAGTTAAGCTGTAGATTCTGATTTCATCTATCTGGTTGGAAATGAAAATTGTCAGTTGAGGTTGAACTTGAGTGAACTGGGTTGAAAACTCTGTGTTAAATCAAACTTTCATTTTACTGTTACTTTCCACTAAAACGGAAGCCAAACCAGTTGCCATCATGTTCATCCTGACTGATGGTGACTCCACGTGTTTCACAGGACTTTCAATGGCTGTGATTGTTTAGGAAGAATTCCTTGGGTGGTACAAATAAGCACTGAAAAGCTGGCAGTTCAAACCCACCACATGGGTGCCATGGAAGGCTGACCTGGTGATCTACTTCTGAAAGATCACAGTCTTACAATCCTCAGGTGCAACTCCTACTCTGCATATATGGGGTCAACACGAGTTGGGGGTGATACAAGAGTAATGGTTTGGGCTTGTACTTGTAATATTTTGGAAGTAGATTGTTTGGCCTTTCTCACAAAGTACTAATGTTAGTTGCCCTTGAGAGAGCTCCATGTGTGTAGAGCGAACTACTCCATAATGTAGCGCTGCAAGGCTCTGACTTTTCACACAGATCACCACGTCTCCTCCTACAGGCTCTGACTTTTCACGGCAGATCACCACATCTCCTCCTCCAGGAGCTTCTTCTGTACACTCTAATAACTGACTGCTCAACCAGTGGTTGAACAAACTACACAAAATACCCAAACCTGCTCTAGGCTCTTAAATATCGCCCTGCCTTTGTTAACATTGTTTCCTGTGCCTGAAATGCTCTTTGCTCCAGCTCTTTCAATCCCACTTATTCTTCTCAATTTAGTTTAGATCTAGTCTCCTTGGAGAACTATTTGTAAATTCCACCATTAGAATTTATCGCTTTTTCTGCTCCCTGCCCACTGTAGTATTTGTCTCCCTACCGTGTTATATTCTGTTATGTTTCCACCACCATCATGCAAGTCCCTGGAAGGAGAGAACTATTCATTTACTTATTTGTTTCTTAAATGCTATAGTCTGCAGCACGGCATTTTTGCATACCCTGGGTGTTTAACAAATTTTAATTATAGCATCTGCGTTTCCATTTTGGCTCCTAAGTGAATCAAACAGAATTTGTTCTGTCCAATTTGGGATTCTGTGTCAAGCACTCATTCAATATTTCCAATTGTCTGTTCCTTCTTCACCTGGGTGTTCTGCCAACATTTTTAATTCAGTTAACTCTGAATCCTTTTTAATTCACTTAACTCCATTTTCCTCTCCAAATTTATTCACGCTGCCATCTCCTTCATTTGGACAAGTGAGGCAATTATTTCCCTGCTCCCATGTTTAAAACTTGTGAAGCTTATGTTTCCTCCCTCACAGAGCCACTTCACATCCAACCATCTATTTTCACCATGGCTCTTGTTACTCTTTCTTCTCCATCACCAGTTTCCTCTCTCAGCATGAAGTAATGGAGAAGAAGCATGGTGAGAAGGTGGAGTTCCAGCCAATCGTTTTCACAATTTGTAAACTCACACTCAGCCTCATGAGTAATAAAGAGCTCATGAAGCAGAAGCATTCTATAGAGTCATATCCATTATTTTCAATAAATGTTTGATAATGGAGGGGTAAACAAAAGATGAAAAGGAAAATCACACTTAGGTGAGATTAATAGCAAAAATACTCTAAACCTTTGTGACTGTAAATGAGAACTATAAAGTAGAAGTTCAGATAAGCTACAGAGTATGTCTCATTTCTTTATTCATTTGAAAGTTAAATCCTGCAGAGCAAATGAATCATGGAAGTGAATTCTATGACCAATGTAGATTGCCCATAAACTAAGCTTCCTTGATTTCTGTTGGCGAAAGAGGTTATTCACTCCCTGAACTTTTAACTTAAATTAGTTTACTTATTTACTTTAACCAATAGTTGAAGCATATAATTTAATTATAACACTGCATATAAGTCTCTGATATAAAGTCTCAGAATAATGCACTTACATTGTTCTTTATGATATTCATTCTATTTTAGTTGTCTTTTAAACTAATGATACTTGCCAATAAATCTAAGTGAAGATGTTTGTTCATCCATTCCAGCTGAATTACTTGCCAGGCAGCCATATATTCCTGCATCTTTGGGAACTGAATTTCTGATAAATAAGGTACCGTCTGAGGTCATCCTATACCTATGGATCAGAAACAAAAGGAAAATACCATAATAACAGTATCAAATTACTACAGTCCCTTCCATCCAATATTTTCAAATATTTCAAAGTTTTATTTCTATATTCATTGCAGAAATAATGAGCCTCACCATTCTGCAAACATATTATATATATAATATATATATTATAAGTAACACATTATGTATATATAATAACAGCTAACATGTACCTAGTACTTGCTGTGTGCTAGAGGGTATTCTGGGAGTTTTTTCATTTAGTAATACGTTCATCTTTATAACCAACCAATAAATCAAGTGCTATTATTCTGAGTTACAAATGAACAAAGAGGCTACATAATTTACCCAAAGGCAGGGTTAGAAAGTGGAATAACTCAAATGTGAACCCAGTTAATCTTGTCCCATGTGGGGACCTGCCATGCTAAAGTATTCCTCAGCAGGAAACCCTTCAGGAGGAAGTGCATGTCACACCGTGAGTCAGTGATGAGGGAGTCTAGGAATAGAATCTGGCTCAGCATGCTGGATCATACCGAAGCCTTCCTCCTCATGCCAAACCCAAGTAATGGAAGCCCAGTGGTTGGAAACTTGGTTGCTGATGTTCCACATGCCCATTACACTCTGAGTGTAAGGCGATGCAATGTCTTTAAAAATCACCCAGAAGAATAAAATCGCGCTCATATGAAGTAGGGCAAAGGCAGTTACAACATGCCGGGCTCAGTTTAATCCAAACTGGTCTAGTTGCCGTTGCTTCTCCCCGTCTCTTCTGTTGAATCCAACAGCCAAGCTTTTACGAGGTGTCTGAAAGCTCCTTTACTCCACAGAATATTGATTACACACATTTTTGTTATTCAAGGTACAATGTTTATCATATAACCCAAAAAGCACGAGGGTGTGTGTGTGTACTTTACTTAGACCCAGTTATTGGATTCAAACTTAATAACCACAGCTCTAAAAACCTCATCAGAGATTTTATTATTATTACTATATTTTAAAATTTCCTGGCCTGTTTGCCAAATCTAAGGCTATGGGTTTGGGGCAAATATCACTAAATCACAGGGATTTGGTCAGATTAGTTTTATTTGGAAAGGTCATCCATTTATCTCTGTGAAAACGAAGAACATGATACAAACCCAGTACCTGTGTGAACCCACGATAAACATGTTGTTCATGGTCCATGTGATCTTGGGTTTCGGATAACCTGTTGCCGAACACATAATGGAGACCTCAGAGCCTGCTGTGAAAGACTGGTTCTTAGGCATCACAGTGACTTTGGGAGATTCTGCAAATAAAAAGAAAGCAAGGTGTCAGAGTTTGTGTTAGGAACTGCCTCTGTCAACTCAGGTGTAGGCTTCCCACCACCACACTTTGCCTTCGGCTCTGCTGACACCAACAGGGGTCTGGCTCTTCTGGTGCAGGAGGGAAAATAAAAGTAACAACAGCAAGCTAAGTAGACTCTCTTTGTGAGAGGGAAATGAATGTTATCCTAATGCCACCTCCCCCGGTGAGCGCAAATTCAACATGAACCAGCTTCTAAGCCACGGCTCTTCTGCTCTGTTTGAGCTAATCTTTCTCTTTTTATTTATTTGCTGATAAATGTGTTGAGATTGGAGACTGTGTCTTTCATATTAATCCATATTCCATTCCGTTCCATAGAATGTAACATTCTTTTCATGTTATGCTGGGGCTTGCATTGAATACACTTAAACCTGTTGATGGAATGCAGGCCATGAATTTTAACTTGGTTTTGACCTCTAATATCTGCCCCTCCTTGAAGACCCTGCAATACTGAACATTTGCCTCATGCTACTAGATTCTTAGGGCCTTGATGTGACAAGAAATATCAATTACTGAAATTTACTGCATTATAAAAGAAGACTTCAGGAAAGGATATATTATTTCAGGGATCTCTTGTCAAAAGGAAATCAACAATGACCTGAGACAAACTCTAGGAAGTTTATATATTTATCCTAAACAATTATACATTTTCTATCTGCATTACTACTCAAAAAGAATGCATATCCAAAGAAGGTACCACTCCTAAATGAATATGAAATATTCTTCTTTGTGTAAATATTTTCCAGTCAGTAGAAATAATAAAAATAAATTCATTTCCACTGTGATCGAAACAGATGCCAGGTAGATTCTATGAGTATTAACAAAATTAAATAAATTAGCTTAATGTGTTAAGGGAATTGTTTCCCATTTACTTACATTTTTATTATCAGTGAAACTGGGAAATTCAGTTAGTCAGTTAGATCAGTAAATGAGGTCCTTATTTCACTAAGAAAAGAATCATTTAGTGGAATCATCATACATTTGTAAGAGATTCAATTTGTATGGCAGCTACATATCCCAATGACCTTAATTGGTGCTTAATCATGAGCAGTTTATAATTGCTCCCCCACTTTTCCTGTTTACATTATGTTTCTCAAATTATGGCCATTGAGTCTTTGAAGTTAATGTTTGAAAGCTTTTTCCGGCTTGTGGACCTAAATGATAGCCTTATTATCCTGCAGATCCTTCTTGATGAGCACATGGTTAGGGAAATGCCGGAGGTCAAAGAAAGGCTAAACGCAGCTAGTAAGCTCACATCGTGATTCCACCTGTATACCATCATCTCTGAAATGGTGGAGGGACTATCATGCTGTGGGGGTATAGCCAAGATCTTGAGGAGATGAAGAAGAACTAGGAACATTTCTTTTTCCTTGAAACTTACTGAATGCCCAAATTTATCACAAAACATGTTCCTTATGTCTTGCTCATATTGACATAGGATTATTGCAAAAATGTAGGCAGCTTTTAAGATTTTATGTAAACATGGTGCCTTCCAAAAGTCTGCCAAATTTGGCCTGGCATGTTTCCCAGTCAGGATCGCACTGGTAGGCTCTGCAGCTCAGAGAGCAAAGTGAAAGTTAATGTCAGGATGCAGAGAACTAAGAAGTCATTGAGGAAGTAAAGCCTGGATATCCAGCGCTGCCCAGGGTCATGAAACAAGTCTGTGTAGACACACAGATGGGATGACAGCGCCCTACAGACGGTGAGACATCGACCACCGCCCTGGGAAGGCTATTCCTGCTGACAAGAAGAAGATCAGAAATTGCATGAACAAACAGAGAGAAGCAAAACTGGATTTTTGTCAAAGAGCAGTTGAATAAAGATTGTCAAAATGATTTAGCCTTTATTTGATTAGGTTAAATAAGAATATTATTAGATCTTACTGTATCTGGTTCAACTGGTCAATGTTTAACTCATGAAGAAAGAGAGAAGAATCTCTCATGCATTTGTCAGAATCCATAGTGTTGTCTGACATAAGGAGTGAAAATTCACTTAAACAATAAACTTTAGTTTTCATGTTTCAATATTGGTTTATGAAATGTAACAAATGTACCAACTAAATGTAGTATGTTAATAATTTAATATTCAGTGAAACAGTGTACAGGGGTGGGTAGAAAAAGAGGATATAATGTAACTTTCTATAAGCCTAAAATTACTCTAAAAAGTCGATTTAAACATACCTCTCTTGAATGAATCACTTGATCTGAGACTCAGGACCATAGTTGACAGGAGGCAAAACTTCAAATGGCATAATATAGTTTCACGAAGACAACGTAGTACATACTGCCTTATTCAGCAGCAACTGGGATCCTAAAACCTGTGAGTGGCCTTGGAAGGTGCAACGAATTGAATCTTCTAAGGTGGCACTATTCTCCCATCAGGAGGAAAGAAGAGTGAATGAAGTCAAAGATGCATGGAGACATTTAGTCCAATGGATGCCCGGGCCACATCCACACCAGTCTTCCTGATCCACAGACTGAGAGCACTGCAGGAGCCCTGCACCACTCCTGACATCTCTGAAAGGGGTCACGTTACAAAAACTGTAGGAAAAAATGCAAACTACAAAAAAAATTCAAATTCAAAAACATTGAGATTTACTGGTTGGATAGAGACTGGTGGAACCCTGTAAAGCTAAAGGCCTTGAACTGAACTCACACCAGTGACTCAGTTTTGAACCAAACAATAGATGTGTCTGAAAGGGGAACAATGGCACTGGGGAGATAAGCACGCCTCAAAATACTCAACCATTTGAGATCAGAAGGGTAGCAATTGCCAAAGGTGCAATTTCAGAAGGCTTGGGAAAGGACAAACGGAAACAAAAATATGGGGAGGACCTGAAATAGGTGATGTTACATTGTGGGGGTTGTAATCAATGACTTGAATCCAAATGTATGTGGACTGTGAAATGGAAAACTATTTCAGTCTGTAAGCCTTAATCCTACACTAAGATCAACATTAGAATTTTTTTTAATCTCGCTCTTATTTATTTTTAACAGAGTAAGAACACAGAATTGAAATAGTTCAACTCCATCAAAGAAGTGGTTTGCCCAATAGTAAACTTAATCTAAATCTCTTTATTGGCAATATAATTCCAAATTTTCAGTAAGAAAAAAGTGCTACAATTCTGTGTAGATGGTCAGAGGCAAAATTAGGCTTGGAGAGAAGAAATTTATTTCACCAGCTGGTTTTCACACTCATTCAATTACTACTATCATTAGAACTACATTCATCACCATGATCACCCCATTATCGCTGTTATCATCACCATCATTAAGAGCACCGTCAATCAGAACACTTTGTTTTTTCATTAGTCAAAGCAATGGAAACATATTGCTTTTAGGTCAATTTTACATTTGTTATTTAATTTTAGCTATATAAAATGTCAACTAAATATTTCTGTAATTTCATATCGGCGACTTAAAAGAATTTAATTTATATGAAAATAAGAATAATAATAAATGTAAATATATACTTGGATCTGAACATAGGATTAATAGTAAAGACCAACATATAGGATTATAAATCTCATGCAGTAAAACCACCTTCACTTTGCTTGCAAAGACTTAAAAAAAGAATAAGAAAACATATTTTCATGGACTTGATTCTGACTTATGGAAACCTCATGTGTGTCAAAATAGAACTGCCTCATGGGGTTTTCAATGGCTCACAAACCTTCAATTATTTCACTAGTAGCCTAGTATAATCCATTTGCACCAGCCGGGGATATTCTACAAATATTAGGGAAGATAGAATCCTCCGTAGCCCTCTAGTAAAATGATGACGTTATTGTCATCAAAAGGACAACAGCTGTTCCCCATTAGAAAGATGAAGCTTTCTGTTCCTAAAAAGATTTATAGTCTCAAAACCACGTAGGGGCAGTTCTAGCCTGTTCTGTAGAGTCACTGTGAATGTTTGCTTTGGGTTCTCTTCACACTTCAGATGCAAATATCCACCAGCAGTCAGCTAATTCTGGTTTATTGTTGCTATGCCTCTTGTCTGTCGATTTGTGGTACTGTCGTGACTTTGTGTTCCTGTAATACTGGAAGCTATGTCAGCACTATTTCAAACACTAGCAGGGTCACTCCTAGTGACCAGGTTTCAGCAGAGCTTCCAGACTAAGAAGAGACTATGAGGAAGGAAGGAATGGGCTGTCCACTTTCTGAGAATCGGCTACTGACAGTCTAATGGGTGGCAGCAGAGCAGTGTCAGGTACTGAAAAACTCATGAAGAGCCTGGGAACACTGTCGGATACAGTGCTCAAAGGTGAGCTTCCAACGGGGATTGGACGGCACTTCAAATATAACTAAGGAAGAGCTGCTTTCTCAAAATAGACTCAACCATAATACCTTGGTTGGCTTAAAGCTTTCGTGGCTTTCATTTGCTGATGGAGCGTGACTCAAAATGAGAAGAAACAGCTGCAACTATCGACTAATAATCAGAATATGGAATGTACGAAGTACGAATCTGGGAAAACTGGAATCCGTCAAAAATGAAATGGAATGCATAAAGACCAGTAACTTAGGCATTAGTGATCTGAAATGGTCTGGTGCTGGCCCTTTTGAAGCAGGCAATCATGGTTTACAATGTCGGGAAAGGCAGATTCAAGAGAAAATGTGTTCCATTCATCAAGTATATTCAAATGCAATGTTGTCTGTGATGGGTCAATATCTATATGCACCTGGGGAGATCCAGTTAATACAACTTTCATTCATATTTACACACCAACCAATAAATCAGGTGAAAAAGAAATTGAAGAATTCTACTAACTTCTTCAATCGGAAATTGATCAAGCAAGCAATCAAGATGCAAAGATGGAAACAACGAGGAACTAACAGTAGTTGGAAAATATTGCCTTGGTGATAGAACCTAAGCTGGAGATCACCCGAGTCACTGAAATGAATTCAGTTCAAGGACTGTAGGTTTCCCAAGGGCCATGTCTCCAGG